ACGAATCGACCCGAAAAAACTCCGCTCCGAAAAAGTTAAACAACCCGAAAGTTATATTATCAAAATAGAATCAAATGCCAATTACATTGGTTAATTTATTATCGCCTTCAGAACACATAAATTGCCACTATTCAACAATTTGTTTACCGTATCAGATTACCTGACAACATACCAAAACATGTTGTTCCGAAGGAGTCCATATCTCACGCACATGTTTGTTTCACATGAATTATTCACCACTTTCGTGTTTTTTTAAATACCAAAACAAATGAATGGCACATTAACAAATAACGAAGTAATATCATGCTCTAATTGCAATGAAAAACTTTACAACCACTCCATTTTCATTAGTTTAACAGCATTGTTGTGTGCGAACATAGTGCAACACTTACTTTACTCTTTGGAGCATTCGATAAAATATATTTCATCGAAGGTTCTAACGTGTAAACGTTTTAAGCGATGTTAGATGATATCATAAAATTCAACCGACACGCGCGGGTTCAACTACGCTGAATTCATTTAATTTTTATCACGAAAAATCAGCGTGTTGTGAACAGCTATGAAGAGAAAACCCCGAACGATCCAATCAAATCAATCGAGTTATAAATACATTTTTATTATATCGGTAAATGTTTTGCGAATGAAAATTCATGCGCGCGCCAGCACGAATTCGTCCCGATTTCCGGTTATAGTCAATGAATCTGTTGGATTGTTGCAATTTGATTTCATCCGATGAAAATCTATGTGACTATCATTCGAAATTTATGCTTCGCTGACGACCGTTTGGTTTCGCTATTTATTTTCGACATTTAATGGAGAAATTCCAGACCAAAAGTGAGCACACAAAAGGCGAAAATATAAAAAAGCTCTCTCTCTCTTACATTTGTTGCTCAACCTAGCAACAAGATACGAAGCAAACGCGTGATCTCCATTACAAGATACAATGACGTTGCACATAAAGGAACTGGAGCCAAGAGAGAGCGAGAGAAAGGAAGTTTGGTCTGCAGTGTTGTTGTTTTTCGGTTGCAGGCTGCCTTGATTTTTGCTATCTTTTTATATTTCGAAATCATACAATGCCGAAATCCTCGTATCCTGGTTTGTGTGTCCTTTTTCGCATTTTTATTATTTATTTATGATTTGCCGTTTTATGGACATGCTCGTAAAAAGTGGATACGGGAAGGGAATATCTGTTAGCCCGGACTCTCTGAAGCAGCACCGATTTATGACATGATGTTCATTCGTTTCACATTTTCATTATGAAAATTATGGTATTTACAAGGGAAACAGAGAAACATCTTTATTTTAATTCAATTTTTTTTCTATTTAGCAGCTCATATATCCTGACTTTGTTTGTTCAATTGTGCGCTTTTTCTAAACATATAAAAACTAGAACATTATTATTAGAAATGCCGTTGTTTCCTTCTCCTTCCCATCTTTCTATCCCAAATATCTCTTACGTTTATTGATGGTCATTTGTAAAATTGATGTCATCGTGTTTAATTTCCAAATTAGAAATTCAAATGTTTTCTAATATATTTTTCCGGCAGACCTTTTCGGAATACCACTCATTTTTGCATTATGTATTTTGCTTTCTTTGCTAACAAAAATGATCCGATAAAAAAAAGAAGAGACCAGTTGCCGATCGAAATTCATCTAATATGTGCCGATTGGAATACTTGGCACGAATTTTGTGCTGTGTTCATTAAATTGGTTTGGAAGCGAACAAAAGACTGACAACTCATCCCCCATCAATAGATATGGATGGGAAAATATTATATCGCTGTGAATGTTTCGCACTCATTTCATTTTATTGATATCGTATGTTTTATGATTCTAATCTCTAATGGCGCGCTCCATTGACAGCTTTCGTGCGCGCATATCCAGTTGGACGGAAATGACGATGGGAAACAAACAAGAGGAAAAACGGAAAGTGAGTTAGAGATATGACATGTTAAGTGAGCTCACTGAACAAATTGTGCATAAATAAAAAGTGGTCGTTTCAATAAACATATATTGAGCAAAAATGGTGGAATGGGAAATGGGCGACAAAGCAATTAGTAGAGCTTTTAGTGCAAACACGGTTTCAATCGGATGATTTTGTGTGCGCCGCCTTACTGATCGATCAGCGCGCGCCGCACATCCTTTTTTAATTAAATCAATTTTGATTATGTGTCACCGACAGATCGTATCTTGTGTACGACGGCACGGCAGCAGAGGCCAACATTTCTTCGTCTAATTTTCATGTGTTTTTATCGTTAGTCGAACCACTTTTACAGCATTTTATCTCCGGCGCATCCTTCCTCATAATATTTAATCAGGAAATTGATTTTCCCTTTCGCTTTTGTGCGAACCGCATGTCAAATCTTTTGTATCGCAACCCTGATCCCTTTCTTGTCTTATGGTGCGAAATTTTCAAAGCAAAATTAAATGGACCGTTTATCGGCGCACGGTTCGTATCAAAATAAACAATGTCAATATCCATAACGAAATACGTGTACGTGTGAATGCGGCCAAAGATCAGATTTTGCTGTGACATTGTTGCGATAAAAATAGCTGAAAACAGAGTGTCATCAACATATTTGATGCTTTTTTTGAAATCCAAAAAAAAAAATTCCGAATGCATAAAAAATGTATCGAATTTCTCGAAAGGAAGGCAGTGCCATTTTCAATTTAAATATTGGATGTTGGAAAATTGAAAGCGCACCTCACCAATACCTCAAAAGCTGAGAAACATATTAAATCAGATGTTAAACAAAAGGTTAAGTACGGTCATACGTCAGAAAACAATACGATGCCAGAGGAAAAAAAGGTCACGGCACATTCATTTGACTACAGGTTATTGAGGTTATTTTAAATAAAATATGTTGAACGATCCGCTTTCATATTATATTTGTCACACATCACTCACAATTTTGGTTTCGGTTTTGTAATAATACATATATACTACTTGCTCGCTACATCAGTCGTGCGTTTGGGGACAAAAATTACGATTCGAAATCAATCATGAACTTCTACACAGCCGTTTCATTTGCCACCGTAACAATTGATTGATTGAATGATTGATTTGATTTGGATATTAGATTTACACACAATTTTTTGCATCCCAACTCAATGAGCACGGCGACATTTTTCATTGATTTCTTCATTCCGGGGGCCGATCATTTTGATTGCCTATTTATAAATTGACGATTGTATATTTCCATGATGTAATGAAGTCAAGTAAAAAAAGGACCTATTATTACCTACGTAATAAGATGCAATTTAAAACAACTCAGAGTCATACATTTTTTATACTCAACTTCCGTTTTTTGTTATTTTTAAATTATGTTTTCACCACATCAACTTCCGAGGGATTTTTTTCGAAAAGATTTTTGGTATGATGTAACTCCCTACTTTTCGCGCTATTTTCCTTGAGCTTCAAACTTTTAATGAACGAATGGTAATGGTTTTGAGCATCATTATCGCGTAAAGAAAGGCAAAGATAAAAAAAACCACGTTATTAAGTCATTAAATAGTATTGGGAGGAAAATACAACAATGAAAATTAAAAATGTATCGGTTTTTTTTTGTTCTAGCCGCATGTGTATATATTGTTGTCGATAGCACATCATTAAGAAATAAAATAGGGAATGTAAGCCGACGGCTCGTGAGAAAAAAAATCTGCAAAATAGCTGACTACATAGACGTTGAATTGGTTGCTTCCCGTTGCTGCTACATTGTTTTCCACATCATTTTGTTTCATTTTCTTAATTTATAAGCGCTCAACGAAATAGTACGAGTAGTAAACACGATGAAATAACGACAATGCAGAGCACAGCAGATTATAGTAAAGCAGTAGCAAAAAAAACTGTGCAAATCAAGTAATAATAGACTTCCGTGCCTACAAACCATATCTTCGTGGGTATTGTTTCCCTTTCATTTGAAAAACGTCTTTATCGAGCGTTCAGTAAAAAAAATAAAACACGAAACTGAACTATATACAATAAATTCTGTTGAAACCATAAATAACCCGCGCTACAAATTTTCCTTCATTGCTCGTCGGACGTTCGAACAGAAATTACATTCGCAATATTATACTATACTCTAGAGGAGTATAAGATTTGCCCACTAAAATAATTATGATACATCGACCTGTTTTTTCAGTCGTTTTTGGCATACGGAAATCATTTATTGAATATTCAGTTTTTTTTTTCGTTTTTTTTTATTCGTGAATGTAGTTTAAGTTTCTGATAAATACATTATGCTGAGCTGCGATGAAAACCGTCACAAATTATTCTAGATCTGAAGAGAGTTAAAAAAATGTTTACTATTCACAAAGTTCTCTGTACTTTTATGTAAATTGAGTTGAATTTTGTGTCGAACTTTTCGCTTTTGAGTCTCTCTGACAAAAAAAACTTTTCGAGCATAGTTTTACTACTTAATTTAACATGATAAAATATGCTTAAGCTGTGAATGACAAAAATACATCGTTAAAACAATATCACCAAAACGTGACTCTACCCAATACACTGTATTCCGAAACGAGCTCGTGTTCGTTTTACATTTACAATAATAGCACACATCTCAGTCAAAGCTGGCTAGACTCCTTAAAATCGATTAATTTTTAATGAAATACGGTAAATACTAAAAAAATCGTTTTCAACTGAAATGTGACAAATTTTACATGAGTATTTCATGTTTTTTTTATTCAATGATGTATGACAAATTGACTTTTAACCTGTCCTCATGTTTTTGATTCTCTCGACAAACTCTGAAAACTTTTAGCTTGGCAACAAAAGATATTTGCCATTCATTTGCGTTTAGTCTGCGTAAAATTAAAAAGCACTCATCATTCATGGAATGTGTAACAAGAGCGGCTAGGATTATGTCAAATGAAAATGTGCTTGTGCACTCTATATAGTAAACGGATATGTGCTCTTTTATCAGTTGGTAAAATTCCAAATCAAAAATCAAAATTTTCCAAAGCAAAAATCTATTGCAAAAATGATGAAAATTATTTACTTTAATCCCAGCTTTGTTCTACTTTGTTGGTTGAACTATTGTTGCTTTTTTGCTGAGTCAATGGTATATTTTCGTACTTTCGTCCTTCCGAGCAGTAAATTCGCTGTGTTCCAATAACAGCACACATACTATAATTTACTTTGGCAACAAAATTTTGTGTTTTTTTTCTGCTGATCACTAAGTTCTATTCTTTCTGTTTTTGCGTTCGTTAGTCGCTTTGATGTTGAATTTAATCACACAAAAAATAGTAATTCGCTGGTTGCACAAATTCAGTCACGTACAGGATTTTGCACCGGATAATTCAGTTTATATTGGTTATGCGCTCAAAAATAATCACTGAAAAATCCTCACTCTCTTCTTTTCAAATTGAGCATTAGACTTGACAAAAATGTATAAATCACAAAGCCACCCACATTAAACTTGCATTGTTGTTGTTGTTGATGATGATGTTGTTCTTTTCCGTTTCTTGTTTGGCTTTATTGGAAAATGTTTTTTTTTTTTTGGATCGAAACTGATCGAAAATCCAGTTAATGGATTTTTTCCGTATTCTAACCTTGACGACTTTACTTTTGGCTTAATCGAGATGTATTGGGAATTAATGTGCGGCACTGAATTTTTGACAAAACATACGCAACACACGGAACAGTTATTTTGAATGGAAGTCGGTTGAATAAATTGCGTTCGTACTGTGGTTGGAGTACAGTAGCTTGATATTCGTGTAAAATTGCGAACGATGTTCGTTTCACATTTATGGCAACACGCACTCACTGTGTATAAACCCAACAGCACCTGTAATTATAATTGGATATTTGTTCTCCACCTCCAATTGTTTAATGTGCGTAATTTTTTTCACTTTTCCTGGCTTAATATCCTGTTTATCTCACACTCTCTTATGGGGGCACTTTCCACCGTAATCGTTGAGTAAACTTGCCAATGCTGTTGAAATGTTTTTGGCGGAACAATTTTTATCACATAAATCACTCAAACGGAAGATAATTTTCAACAATTTTTTTTTAAATTCATCATTCAAAATAACACCTTCCTTTTTTCACTTTATTCATTTCCGTGCACACACAAACACCAAACCTTGATTCGGTTTGCCATTAAATCGAGAAGCATTGATACACAACTTGAGTGCTCAATTTCGCGTGTCATTTATTCGACTCTGAATACAAATCGAATTGCACAACAATCGAGAAATACCCGTTGGACCGTTCGTTACCACTTCATACAGCGTACTAAAGAACTTTTCGAATCGGGTTAATGTGAAAACGAGAACGAGCGCAGAAAACATCATTCGGTTATTCGTGTGTGGTGTGTGCTACCAAAACGGAAATTTTCCCGAAATTGTGTCAATTGTTCCCCTGCGTTGGCAAATAGACACAAAAACGTTTAACGTTTGTTTTTGGGGTGTATATTTTTCATTGGATGTTTGAAATAAACAAATTTTCACGCCGGCGATTGAACAGCGGCCAAAGCGCATGTCCGGCTACCACGGCAATGACAGTTACTTGGTAACGAATGAACGAAGGGGAAACAAGTTTTGACAATGATAATGAACAAAATTCATTACATTGAAAATTCTTACATTGTAACGTTTACACTTACAGCACGCATAATATTGGACTGTGGGGGGATGTTGTTGGATATAAGTGTCTGTTTTGATAGCCATTGAAAGTTACGTGTTTAAGATAGGTGTAGGTCGGGTTTTGATTGATTTCGATTTTCAAGCAAGTCTCGACAAATTCATGAGATAAAATCGCCTCAAGTTTATAATTCTGTTCGAAAGTCTGTAATCTTCTATCATGACACTATATTGTGATCGAAAATACCTCAATGAATGGGATGCTTTGCTGGAAATTGCATTTGATTAAGACCGACTAAATTAAACAAACAAATCTGAATGAATAAAAATTGGAACACGCACATTTTTCCACTGACAATTTTACTTAGATTTTTAAGTCATCGCCTTTCATTCAATTTATTACACTATTAATAACAATTTCCATTCCGATGAGTTTTAATGAGTTAATAGAGCTGGTTCATTTTGTTGTCATCAACGATGCCAGTCATTCTGTTCTGTTTTTTTTTATGGTTCTCTATCATAATTTTCTCTACTTCGAGAGTCCACGTTGCTTGCCGTAATACAGCTTCAAAATCGTCGAGTATGAGCGAGAAATGAAAAGTGAATCAGAGAAAGAATGAAAAGACATAAAAAAAGAGTGCATGTCGAGAGCCACCGCGCTATAAAAATGGCCTGAGTGCTATTATGTGCACACACATTTTTGCATAAAATGAACGTATTTATTTATAATTAATTTAAATATGCAAAACCAAGAGCCACGAATAGAGTGAAGAGGACTACTACGCGGAATGAGAACAAAAACGCCACAATACAACACACTGCAAAGCACATTGTACCACAGACACCGTTGAGGCGCTCACCGTGTCACATTGTGCGGCATAGCTTGAATATACACGGTACACACGTAGATAGAGAGAAGAATGAATATATTTTCGGTTATTGTTCATTCGCCAATCGGTGTACGTGGACGGTGATTTAACCGCCAATGTTTGCATGTGTGTGCTTGCTTTTGACCGCGAATCGTAATTGTAAATAATGCACCAAATGAATAAATTCGCTTTTTTAAGCTTCTTTTTGCCGTCTGCTTATTCTCTTGTTTTTTTTTGGTCAACATTTTTTTCGCGTGCATTTTTTTATAATTTATCACTGCAAATACATAAGAGCATACACTTGACTCGCAACACACATATTTGGCGGCATGTACGATATGCTCATATTTCTTGATTGTTTGGGGCGTTTTTCCGTTAAATACGAGCTACGTTAGAAAAAAGAGCAAAATTAAGCTTTTATAATGTTAAATAAAATGAAATAAAAAATCACGTTCTCATTTTTTTCTTTATAGACCTCGTTATCAGAACGAAAACAAAAAAAAACACATAAATGCATTCATTTTCCTCGGCTTTACAATGAAATGAAAAAATATTTTGAATAATAAAGTAGCCAACGGAAATATTTAAAAATATTCGGCTGTTTATTTATGCGAGAGAAATACAAATACTTCAAATGAAATTATGCTAAAAATGCGCCATTGACCTTGATGTTGAAGAGTTCTATTTCACTCTCTCTATATTTATCTGTCGAAATTCATAGTTGATATGAATTTATTTAAATGGAGAAAAAGCACTTCGACTCTCCTTCGTGAATCTCTTTAGAATTATAATTATTTATATGTTCTTGCGTAGCAAATAAGTTCAAGCTTGTCGTGCATGAACGCAAACCAAACACTCATTTTCATATATTCATTTCAAACCAAAAACCTCTTATGTTGGTGCTTTTTGTTCTACAGTTGAAAAAAAATCTTCGGAGAAGATACCATGTAAATTTGGATTCGAATGAACAGCAAAATTGGGCAGTGAGCCAAGCAGTAGAAAGATAGATATTCCTCTTGTTGATGGACGAGAACTGCTGTATGGAGAGCCAGAAAGGAGAGAAAGCAAGAAAAACTAGAACAACTTGCTATCTGTTTGTATCCCGATGACTGTATATATAAAGCAATCGTTACTTGCGATTTTCAAGGAATACTCTGTTTTTTTTTCTCACAGCCCGTTTTCAAATTGTCTACACTTTTTCTGTAATGCGCATTTTTTTGCGCTGCAGTAATCTCTTTGAAAGGAGTTTTCTCTTTCTGTGTTCCTTTAGTGTTTTTTTATCTTCATTGGAACCAAAGATTACATGAATCGAAAATATGTTTCAATGCATTTTTGGTTCATGTATTTTGAAATCGCCCAATTTCTATAAATCTATCTTTTGCTTTTATGTCGTCCATTGGCATTTTTCTTCGTCTTTTTTTGTGCGACTAAAGCACTGTAAATTTGATGCCAACGAACATGAAAAAATTGCGGGTGGTTGCGCAACGGCGGCGAAGAAATATGAATTCAACCTTGTATGCCGTTCCGATTTCAAATATTACAATATACATTATATGCATTTGCTGTAACTTACAGCTGTAAGAGAGGGTGGGTGGATGGCGCGCCGATATAGAAAATAAATTGAAGCCAATAAAAGCATACACTCGAACAGTTTTAAATTCTGCTCTCTTTTTTTTGAAACTTCACATGTAAATTGCCTTTGCTTTATGGATTACTCGGAAATCGAATTGAAGTAAATAAAAAAATCAAAACGTTAAAATGTTACAAGTGGCTTTCATCAGAGAATGCAGGTTTAAATATGCTCCAAAGCACGAAGATACCAATAAAATAGACAAGTCGGTTTTTCTTAATTGTGTATGTGTTGTTTTTACAGCTCTTTTTGTTTTAACTTTTGTCTCAAGTGACACACAATTACATAAGATGACGACTCTTCTTTTATTCCATACAAATGCGTGCGCTGTATGGATTGAAAGGAAAAGGGTCTAAAATAATTGCTTAGCATTGATTCCTGGCTGATGCTGTCGTCGTTTTTGTCACATGCTGTGTGAGACGCATGTTAAGAACAAAATTCATTTTGCTCTGCATGCTGCACTTGGCAACCTAACCATAGTGTACGGGGTTTACAGATTTTCACATTTCCTGTGGATCTTAACAGCAGAAACAAGTGGTAATTTCATTTGATGATGATTTGTCTCTCACGCGTTGAATCCATAACTCACGTTTCCATGTGGAATTGAATACCCACCTTGTGTCTGTGCATAACACTTGGAAAAAAGGCGAGCTCACAATCATGTCTAAAGCGAAAAAACGATACAACTCATACGTTTTCTTTTTTTTTAATTCTAATTTTAATGAACTGACTCACCGTGATGCTTGTCAAAAACATACATAGTCTACATATTTGATGTGAAAAAAAACAGTTGTAAATATTAAAAAATACAATGCACGTTTGTATGTATATACATTGAAATTTAATTTTTTGACGATCCCGAAAAAATACATTCATGTAAGTTTCCCCAAGTTCTCTATCAACTTTTCAATTTGCGTTCTCTTGCAATTTAAAATGTAACCATAAAATAATGTAAATGCGGTGAAAACACAGTTAATTCAATTGCATTCTCAATCTATCTTTTGTGGGCTGTTGATACTTTTCATCAAAAATCATGATCTGGTTTTGACATTATGTTTTTTTTTTCATTTTGATTTGGTCTTTTTAACCATCTTTTGAAAGAAACATTCACTACGAGGAAATAAAATATTCAGCGGAAAATGTATACATTGATCGCATTTCCATCGTGTTTTTATTCGAGTAAATTTTGGTTTCACGTAAATTTTTTCTATTTAAATATTTTTCTCTCATTTTGCTTTATTGAATAGTAGCGATTAGGTTATGTTTCGTTTTTGAGAATTCTTTTGAAAATCTTTTATGATGACTTTATCGACTTTAAAGGTAAAGTTATTGCTCAACATTGATAAAGCACAAAGTCATTTCGATTTTCATATTGATGGTTTTATGATTCGAATCGAAAATTAGTTCAAAACATCAAATGTCTGGCTGAATAAACTATAGTTGCATATTGCATTCGAATTGTATAAGGAAGCTCGCTTCGCTCGTTGTAGAGTGCAAGCAAGCGAGTGGCACAGGAGACAGGATTTTAGTTAATCAGATTTATTCCGTTACACATCACCATCAGAGCAAGAGCAAGAACGTTGAATAAAAGAGTATGAGAGAGTAATCATTTCCATTCTGCTAATATTTTGTAATGTTTTTAGTTCAGGAGATATAGCAACTGAAAAAATATTACACAAATCCAATAGCTCATAGCTCTACATTTCGAGTAGTGCTAAGAACGTCAAGCAAAAAAAAACCACAAAAAACATACGTTTCGTATCTTTATGTTGATGATGATGGCGATGATGATAGTCTATCGTGAACTTTTGATCGCTTCGTAACAAAAAATACTGTCAATTATACCATTAGATGTCATTAAAATTCATAAGCTTTATTAGAAATCATTCAACGTAAAAATATATAACAGAAAATCAGTTTGTGATTGGAAAAGACCGGAGATATTATTTAGTTATGTTCATAGTTAATTGCAGATACGGATATGCATCCGTATCCTCTGATCGACAAATGGATCTGTATGATGCGACCGACATTTTCTTTTATGCCAATAGTCGGATATGTACACTCAAAAAATCAATTTTAGATATTAAATATTACCGTGTTAATGGTTTCATACTTTGCCTTTGGATAATGAAATAATGTGCATTAAATGAGTGTGATATAAATCACAATTATTGAAAAAGCATTTACAATTTGATTATACCGACATATTTTTGTAGGCATGAACGTAATACTGTATCAGTCTATTTCGAAGTTCTGTAAAAATGAGTAGCGGTGAACAATTTCTACGTTTAGTTCGTGCGTTGTGCAATGTCACGCGTATTTGGGGTATAAATGGATTTGTGATACCACCAAAACGCAACAAAAAAATGAAATTGTACATAAATAGAACAAGTGTTCTGATTACTTTAGTGCCCGTGTCTATAATCATTGGATCAGTTGTTATATCCACCCTTAACAATCAAGCGCAAAGTGCAATTTCTTCGTATATGCCAAAGGCAAAAATGGCCAATGTTGTACTTTATTTTTTACAATTTTTGGCAATCTGTGGTTTTTTCATCAACATCATTATGGATATTAAAAATCGTCCAAGAATTCAATCAATCATTTGTGGCTTGTGTGATTTCGATATCGTGGTAACTTCTCTATTCTTTTTAAATATTGATTCTCCCTTTAATTTAACAGATTTCTTATTTTTCAAATAATATGTTATTTACTTAGATGCGGCGAATTTGTGGGAATGTTGAATTTAGTAAAATGACCCATTTAATAAGCTTTACGACATTCATTTTTGGCTCTTGCATACTGTATGCCATATTTCACTTCCGTTTTGAAGACCATTCAAACGGACTTTCTATACCAATCATTAGAACTATATCAATATGTATAATGATTGGAAATGCGGGCGCTCAAGCAATTGTACTTTTATTTTATGCTTATCATGTGTACATAAGATATAAATATCTAAACGAGAATTTGCGGTAACGATGCATCATACTTTATTAAATGACGTTCCCTGAAATATCTTTTATTTCATCAGTGTTTCGTTTAATATAAAAAATTTAAATGGACGCATAGAATCAAAATGGCTGGCCAGCGTCAAGGAAAAACCAAAAAATGTTCATCTTGATCAATTGGTGCGAAATACAGCGCGACTGCATCATCGTCTCAGTTCCGAAATCATCTCATACATAAATTATTGCTATTCATTTCAGGTTTGGTCTCAATTGAAAAGCTCAAAATAAATAACCTAATTTTGTATTTTTCTATTTCAGTTTATGATTTTTTCGTTTAAAATATTTGTAATTGTACTGATTTCTTTCTACGAAGCATATGGGTATTTCGTCTCAAACCACTCGTCTGATTTTAACGCCGATTTCCTTGTTATACAATCGATACTAGCTACCCTGCATATTTATTTGTTTGTAATGACCCTTGCGTATGGATCTTCCATCAACAATGAAGTAAGAGAAAATATAGTTAGCTTTACTTTCAATAATAGCCCATGTTATGTAATTATTTTTGAGACTTTTCGAACTTTTCAAACTTAGTTATACTAACCCATTGAATATAAATTACTTCATTTTCATTTGCCTTATCTATTTATTATCAGAGCCACAGGACTGCATTCATCGTGAACAAAGCCATGAATAAATCTTGGAAGGATGGTTTAGTTATGTCAGAGGTATTGAAAAAAATGCCAAGTGATTTATACAGTGAATCCGATATTTTTGGTAGACAAAATTTTGCATGACACACTCCACTCACACGCCATTCGCATATGAATCCTATGTTAGTGGAGAGTTTCTCTGCTTACTTTGCTTGTTATTTTGTCTATCAAAAAAATTAGATTCACTGTATATGTTACATATATAATATGTATAGTTTTCTTAATTCGTTAAAATAAAGTTACAGCAATTTCTGCAACAATTGGAGCATTCAGATCCTCACTTGTCATGTGGCCTCTTCAACATTGATATTAATTTGTTGCTTCTTGTATGTTTTAATTTACGTTATGTAAACAATCTCTCATTTGAATTATATGATAATTTCTATTATAATTTAGGGATTTTCGGCAGTTGTTTCTTATATAGCGACCTTAATTCAATTTGACGTTGTTACTTATCCGACTAGAGAAAAACGATAAGTGTATTCTAATGGCTGAAATAACGAAAAATTGTACTGAAATAATGAAATTTGGTCAGTTGCTGACAAAACATGCCACTCATCATATATCTGAATCAGCTTTCAGAAAATATTTAAATATAATGTTTGACTACTTGATGAGAATAAAATGTATATTTATTTGAAAATTGAACTGTAAGACGAATAAACAATTTTTAACCTGGTCATTTGAGAATTAGTTCAATAAAACCAGCACAACGCTCAAAAGAATTGTTTCTTCTTAATCTTCAATTGAATAACAATCTTGACAATTATCTTGGATTCATCTAACTGGTCTGCTAAGCTGACAGTACGTAGCCAACTCACCGAGCTAAAACAATAGAAGTGATTGATCATTATAACAACAAGTAATGGGCTAAAACAAAAGCCATTTAGCTGGCTACCGAGATAATCCCCCATTCACATTTGTACCACCTTTTCTTTACTCAATTTCACCGTCATATTTTTATATTACTTTTGAGTTAAGCTCAGCTGACCAGTTAGTTGAATATATTGTCTGCCAAGAATATTTTGATCAAGTCAAACCGGATAATATCGAATGTCAACTAAAAGTGAATCCACCTCATACTACAGGACAGATCATCATATTGTTAACTTTCCCAAAGCTTAAAAGTACATCGGTGGAACTTCAATGCTTTATTATTCATCACTTCTCTCAGGATGTTTGCTATTGGAGAACGCCAAAGAAGGGACAAAAGTTCTTGACCTCATATACCGCTATAGCGGTAATAACGAAACTGACTGATTAATATTTTTGATGTGAATAATAATATAATCTCTTCATTAGCCACCACCGATTGGCACTTCAAATGGCCGTCAAAAACAACTACAGTGAATCTAATATTTTTAGTAGACAAAATTTTGCATGACACACTCCACTCACACGTCATTCGTATATGAATCCTATGTTAGTGGAGAGTTTCTCTGCTTACTTTGCTTGTTATTTTGTCTATCAAAAAAATTAGATTCACTGTACTATGGGACATGCGAATTATTGCTTCGCACAGAAAGAAAAAATGTGGTATTTTTAATTCAATTTTGGTAGATTTAATATAAAATCTACCAACAACGAATTAAATTTACCATTTTTGACATCTCTGAGGCATATTTTTCAAAAGAGACTATCAGTTGAATTAGTTTTACCAATTGCTTCATTACATTCACCAAATTCATGGGCTAGCGTCATCTGTGGTTTCGAAAAGTTGGTAAATGTAATGAAACAGTTGGTAAAACTTATTCAACAAATAGTCACTTTTGAAAAATATGCCTCAGAGATGTCAAAAATGGTAAATTTAATTCCTTGTTGGTTGATTTTATATTAAATCTACCAAAATTGAATTAAAAATACCACATTTTTTCTTTCTGTGCGCTGTGCGGGTTGGTATAAACACAGACTTGATGCCAAAAAATTGTAAGGCCCAACTGATAGTGGACGCTAAATCAATCCGAAAATTAAGCACGGTGCCGACCCGTTTGGTGAATCCAAAAATGGAGAGACTCCCATGGCATTGGGCGAACAGTAGAGTGGTTCAATTTTGACATTTTTTCAAGAATCAAAAATCGTACCACTATAACCTCTGAAGAAAGGTCATAGAAACATGACTATAACAACGAATTCGAAAAAAAATGATTTTTGGTGATGCGCGGTTCCAGGTGGTTTTTTAAAAAAAATCAAATTTTGATGAGTTTTGAGCACTTTAAAAATTCCGAACCACTGCAAAAAAACTATGAAATAAAAAAAATAAGAAAAAAAGATGAAAAAAAAAATTGTTTTCACACGGAATCGAACCTGAGACTTTCAGTGTCATGCACCGTAAGCGTAACCACTGAACCAATGCAATGCTTAAAATTTTGAGGCACCAAATGGATAACTTGAAACTCATGGAATTCATAATTTGTATATACGCAATTAGATGAACTAATACAAATGAAAACAAACATCAACATACAAATAAGCTACAGAAAATGCTGCTTTAGTGTTTGTATTTTTGTATGTATTTTTGGAACATTGTTTTGTCAACGACTATACATATGATGTATGGGAGATACATACGATATAGATATTTACCATACAATGATTTTTAGATAGGATAGATGCGTAAGATCTCCGCAAGATCCAGATCCAAGCGTGCGTACGCTGCCGCATGATGCATACATATATAATACGCACGCAAATTCATTATTCTTATTTCCCCTTCTTTGATTCGCATGCCATAGCATTACGGAGTAAGGAATGTATGTATCACGCGGCTACGTACGCACGCTTGGATCCGGATCTTGCGGAGATCTTACGGATCTATTCTATCCAAAAATCATTGTATGATATTTACTTAATAAAGCAATTTTTCAAAAATAAGTTTTCATTCAATTCGTAAGGAACAATCGTTCCATCTTTCAATTTATATGACTTTCGAGCATACCTAGGGGCAGGGCAGTACTAGAATAATAATTTTTGTTTAAAGTAATTCTATGTTGTGAGTAGTAATCCATATTAATTCGCATGTGTACGTTGTGTATTACATTTGTTAGGAATAAAGCGATCGTCGTATATTACGGATTGAAACAATTTATTCGATATTTTCCATTTTTTAACAATAGAATGTCTTATCCGAAATATACGGCGATCGCTTTATGCCTAGCGAAGGTCATACACAACGTACACATGAAACGTCATTGCACGCTGTTAGAATTTACGTAAGTGTGTATTACTATGGATTACTATTCACAACATAGAATTACTTTAAACAAAAATGATTATTCTAGTACTTCTCTGCCCCTAGGAGCATACACAAACCCATTCATTGTTGACGCACTAGAATTCTTTTAAATAAAGGGGAAATTTTTTTGTAGTTAAATGTTCTAGGTTTTCTAATAAGAATTAAGAAGACATTTCACGAAATTTTATTAAATATATTTTATTTGCTGCAAATATTCTTTAAATTCTACAAATTGTTTAACCGTTATTTCAAAAATATTGGTTTATTGTAATTAAGTGAGTGTTCAAAGTTAATTTATATAAAAATTTCATGTTTTACTATACCTTTTCATTTTTATTCGTGTATTTGGCCATGAAGAAATTGCAATAGATTCGAAAATGAGCACCAAACATAAAAATTTCGATTATACATTTTTTTTTTAAAGCAGGAGTTGCTTACAATTTATTCGGAGGTGGTTTAGTATTTTTATTCTCTTATCCTAAATTATTTCAAGTGTAAATAACATTTAAATACATCACTGTAAATAATTTTTCTTTTACTTTTTTTTGGTGTTTTAGGTTTTTACCATTCCAATCGAACACAGTTTGGAAATAATAATAAGAAAAAAATGAATATTTTTTCAACTTTCAATGAAAAATCTATTTACAAATTGCTTTGAATTTAGAGAGGGCACTAGGTTAATCGCGATAGTCCATGGTTTTGATAAATTGGACCGCTGAACAGAACTGAGTCCACCAGTACTGATCCTCGCCTTCGATTTCTTCGCCAATAAATGCGTTCACATATTGAATCGTTGACAATAAATACGGAGGATTGGCCTATATGTAAAAAGTGACGAAAACCAAATTCAAAACATTAGAAGGGATACTTATTTTTCTGTGTTTCATTTAGATGAAAGAATGTTGGAACAAGTACCATTATCACAACATAAATCAAAACTGGGACCAAATCATCAGCCGATGGGATTCGGTTTGAAGACATTTGTAGTAAATTCATTATGCATGTTATACACCTGTAAACCAAGAGTTTTCATTTAGAAAAATTGGAATTCTTTTGTTTTTTCTCAGAATTGAATCAATCTTACCGAACAACACACTGAACTTTTTCGCGTGGCGTTTTGTATGCTGAAATGTACGAGATTTGTTGTTGAGCAAATGGCCATGGAGATTCAATCCAGAATGCCTTTGGAATTCTAAGTGCACTGTGTGATGGCGTAATGATTGTAGACAATTTTCGAATGTGTTCGTGCAATACTCTGAAAGGCAAGTGACAAAAAGTCGTTATTAGAAATGTAATTGGTGAAAGATCGAAAACTCGAACTTACTCATCACGTGAAAGGTCAGCATCATCGTTTGGAAACAGCACTTGTCGATAGAGTCGTTGCAGTAATATCCGTTCGATACAAGTTCGTGCCTCATGTAGTTGCCAATCGGCCATTCCTTGCAATACTCCATCTGATTTCAAGTCGTCCATCAGTCGGTTCATAAAATCCAGCATTATGTCGATTTTCTCATCGAATACGGTTAATTCAGAAAATCGTTCTTCAAATTGTTCGATAACCGATTCACACTTTTTCAAAAACATTCGAACACAAACCATAATCAAGTGACGATTGCACATTTCACGGTCATTCTTTAATCGATCCTCGAATCGATCAATGTTTTCCAGTGCGGACAGCAAATTTTGATGATATCGCATTAAATATTGCAAATAACTTTGTCGCTTCACCAAATCTGACTGAAGATCGGCAATTAAGGTCTGCTGTTGCGATTGATCCAATTGATTGACTGACCGTATCGCCTCGGAAACGTATGAAATTTGCTGGAGATTTTGAAGATTTTGCGCTTGAGCCAATTGAATGTGCAGATATACGAGTATTGGTGGCGTTTTATTGCACTATAAATTGAAAATGAAAATTGAATTAAAATCAAGTCCTTTTTTAATAAATATATCCATTATTTTAGTAACTTACGTTTGTGTGTCGGAAATCGGCTGTGTGTAAATCGGTTGTCGATAGAACGAGACGTAACTTTTGTTTGGTTTTTGTATACAAATAAATATTTTCATCGTGTAACATTCCAGCCAAGTGATGCTCATCTGTGCTCATGAGACTCTTTCGATCATTGTTCAAATTGTGTCCAATCGAATCTGAATTGGTAGCTTCACTGGATGATGAGATTTTACGTCTATATTTCTCCAAAATATCTTCGGAATCATTGTATCCATTTTCAATTGATGATTTTTGTGAAGTATTTGCGAACAATGAGCTACTTGCGCTGGCACCATTTGATTCCATTGACAATGGCATGGCCGTATAGTCTTCGAATGTGGCGCGTGGCATTTTACTGTTACGACGAAATCCTTTTTTTATTTTACTAAAGAAACCGTTTCCGTTGCCATTTTGACGACCATTCGAATGATGGGGTTGATGGTATGGCGATGTGTTTGGTGATCCATCAACCTTTCGTCCATTGCTATTTTTATCAGCCGATGCATCGAAACTAATACTTTTCGGAATAGCACCCGTATACTTGGCTGTTGTTTTATTCGCTGAATCGGTAGACGTCGGCGCTTCAGCGCCAGTAAATACATCGCCACTGCTACCGCTTTCCATTGGCGGTTGACCAGCCGAATCTTTGAGTGACATTGAAATTGTTTTTTGCACCAGCAAATATTCATCTTGTCGTTTATTTTTATCGTCATCGGTGGCCGAACTCGACAACAATTGTAAACTTGATGTTTTTGTTTTTGCGATAATCTCATGATTTTCATAGTTTAAACTCTTTGCAAAACGTTGAACTGAAGCTGCGGTTATTGAATTGCTGCTTGTATTGGCTGTTGAAAATGAGATGCCATTGCGACGACCATCAAAGCTTGCGTTCAATGCACGTTGTTCATTGGACATTCGACGGCATTCAACCGGTGTTTCTTCAGAGAATTGAGCACTTTGATGGTTGCTGCTATCATTGTGTCTCAATTTCGTTGTGCTCGTACCTTGTGCACCCAATTCATCTTCGGCAAATGGATTTATGATGTCCGTACTGGTTTTCACCACATTCTCTTCCTGTTCAGTCGAATTACCATTTTCACGTAGAAAATCATTCATCGAAAAGTTTGATTTGTTTGTCGATGACCGCTTTGATTTATTCAGTGCGGCCGCATCATCTAACGTGGATGATTGATTGGATATGCTGCTTTCAGCGGAATTTTGACGACGCATCGTTGAAGTACCGGTCGTTAAAAATGGATCGCGTTCAAAACTTTCATTTCCATTTGGTGTCGAACGATAATTTCGAAATGCACTGTCTGTATACCGTTTGTTTGTCGAGTTTCGTGCATTCGAAGCCGATGGCGATGATGTGCTTGCGAATCGTGCATAGTCTTCATTTGGAAATCGGGGTGATTGGGTGCCACGTCGATCATCAAAATGTGAACTTCGATTTGTGCCAAAAAGCGGTGAATCGGGTGCCCGAGGTGCAAACATTGGTGAATCCGGAGCACGATTACGTGGTGAAAAGAATGGCGAATCGGGTGCTCGTTGATTTACCGGAATTAAATCGGGTATGGGATCACCTTCGGACCGATTTGCGTCGGTCGTGTCTGATTTTGCTGCAATACTTTGATTATCATCCGTATCAACTTCGGTCATTTTTTCCGAATCACTTGCAAGCACATCGGTCGACCACGCCGATTCGGATCGTGTGTCGGACGCATCGAGGAAATTGGCTCGCAGTTGTGGATTGGCCAATGGATTAAAATTATTATCACCCGGTAGAACCACAGCACTTGGTATCAATGGTGTGGAAAAGTTTCGTTCATTTTCAACTGGTTCAAGTGTTTCTGAGTCACTTGCCAATACATCCGTTGACCATGTATCTGATATAATCGAAATCGTTTCATCGCCTTCGACCAATTTTTTAATCTCAAATTTACAAAATTTGTCATCGATATCCGATCGTGCTTTATTCAGAATTTTGGCCATTTGTGGTGTCGGAATTTGAACATTTTCACCTTCAGTGACTTGTGACGATGGCGTATCTCGGCCACTAATGTTTGGCGTACCACGACCAGAAACATTCGCTGAAACCATATCCGACAAATTATCGTTTAAATTTTGATCATTTTCCTCCAATTCCAATGAACTGGTAACCGAATGGTTGCTCGGCGCTTCACTAACCACTTCTAAATTATCAATCGATTGATCGTCTTGCGAAAGTGAGAATCGTGTATGTTTTCGTGTTGGCATCACAGCGCCCAATTCATCATCGAATGCCACATTGTTTGTTTTGTCAAGTGTATCAACATTTTCTTCGGTGAGACCAGGTTCAATTTCATTGCTGATATTATTCATATTGAGTACTTCTTGTTCGGTTAACAATTGAAATTTTGTTTCTTCACTGATCGTTATCGGAATCATAAGCACATTTTCATTGTCAACGTTGTGATACACATTATTGTTGATACCAACTGATCCATTCACACTAACACTAGCCGCATATTCATCGCTGCCCACATTCAAACTAATCGATTTCGCCAATTTGTTTCGTGTACTTTTACCCAAATTGATTAGCTGCTTTGTTTTACTTTGACTCTCAGTTGTAATCGTAACTGCGTTGCTGGTACTTTGGTCACCATTTAAAACCGTGCTTGGTAGTTGCTCAAGAATTTTGTTCAATTTTCGTCGATCTTCACCACTAATTGTCAGCTCATCATTGTCCAATACGGTGCGCAAAAAATCCACAAAAATGTTGAGCTCATTTTGTGTGACCAGCACATGACCACGGCCAAAATCATTTTGATGCGGTATTGCCATCGAACTGACTCGTATATCATTCTCAGTCTCAAGTAATTGTTCCATCAACTCGGAGATAATATTGCGATCGAACATGCTAAACAATTCCACATATTTTGGATCGATGTCTTCATGTTTCATGAGTGCAAACATTTGCAAAATTTGCCCAATTTGAATGAGATTCATGCGTGCATTTTCGGAAATCGGTGCATCGGATATGCCATATAAATCTGGGCTTACAACCGCCGGGCAAATGAAATTCGTAAAAATCATATCAGTCAAAATGTCGTTGATTTCCTTATCGTTTACGTGAACCGATCTGAGCAAATGACACATTGTTTGTACGACCCAACGCATGGTCGACGGAAACATTGCCCAATTGTTACTCAACGATTTTATAAACAATTCCGTTAGTTCGAATAATGCTTCGATTGTTTTGCGTCGAAATTCGTTGAACTTTTGCGCATATTCATCGGTACCTTCTATTCCAAATCTGTTAACGGTAAATAAAAGAAATTTAGTACAATTGCCAAAATAATGTGTTTTGTTTTTCATACTTTTTCAGTCGTTCCTTTGCCGCATAGTTCTGAACGGCTTTGTTTGCATCGATGTCCAATACTAAATCGTCACCGATTAATACTTTCATAACTGGCTGATGCAAGGCGGCTGTTAGAAATAATTTTGCCGAAAATAAACTCTCATGAAGTCGACTGTAGAGACGGGAAAATGAACATGATCCACTGCGCAACATTCGACGTGGATTCTCACTAACAATCACTTGTATTTCAATCAAGTCACGTAATAGTCTCAACACCAAATCGACATCCTTTGACAGAATTGCGTTGCCATAAAGACCGGTGGCCACCGTTTTTACGACCGAGTTCATTTGATCATTTGAAATCTCCTCCAATCGGTCACCGACCGATAAACTTTGCGCTAATAAATACGTTGAATGATGCAGGAAATTCAGCAATTCATTGTAGGCAAGGACATGCTAAAAAAAAAAAACAAGAAAAAACCCAAACATTTATCACCTTGCTCTCAAAAAGAAAATAACATGATTCATACTTCGTATTTGACGCCTTTTGCTTTGTGCGCCTCGACAAATCGCGTGTTTTCCAACGAATTTGCTTTGTGACAACATTCCGTTGGACCGGTGTCGGGTCGCGATATGATCAAACTGTTAAGATTTTGTCGTTGTTGTGAGCAAATCCAGGCCAACTGTTGATTGAAAATAAATGCACCATTATAAATTTGCATATTTAAATGAATTGACCATAAACTCTCACCTGCGCCACATTCGATGCATTCCGACCAAGTGTTTCGTTGAGGCGATTGAACGAAGCCTGTTCATTGGCAATGAATAAATGTTCCTGTCTCAACGAGTGTGCCAAATCGATAATTTCCAACAGATTGCCATTGTGGATGGACTGCATTTTTGGAACAGGACTTACTCAATTTGAACGATTTTATCAAACACCCAGTTCAACTGAAATGAAAACCGCAAATGAAATTAATACGTATAAGTGTCTCGACCGAATACAAAAAAGACATTTCCGTGTGAAAATATCGCACACAATTATCTCGCTCATTGTGTGTGACACACGAGTAGTCGGTTGAACGCCCACTTAGTTTAAAAATTTCGTACAGATCAAAACGATAGCACCGCGCAGAAAAAAATGACAATAATTTTGATTGAATGTTTTGTACAAACAAAAAATCGTATAACAACGACGTTCGTAATCAGAAAGACAAAGGCACACAGTGTCACGGTAATTCCATACGAGCACAACAACAACATAAAAAAATTATAAAACACGGAACGGAACTGCAAAGCGGATCACACACATAAATGCAGAGAGTGAGAGATAAATGTTCTATCAGCAGTAATACAAGTGTGTATTGAATTTTTATTTCGAAGCGGTTCCGTGCATGAATAGCACACATACGTAATGCAGATTTCCAATAAATAATAATCGACGTGTATCGCATGTGAGCTTCACGGCATTCAGTTTTTATCAAGGTTATGCACAAAATACAAAATAAAAGTAAAGAAAACAACAACAATTACAGTGAAGAACGAACAAACCGCGCAACAGACAAGCGATGAGTACATTCATATGTTTCTCATTCGATTCACAATGTAAACACTTAAAGACAAGCAAATAAAGCACACGAGCGGTAACAAAACTCAAAGCAACAGTAACAACGTCAAACGAAAGAATATTCATTTACGTTCGATTGTAATCCATAAACAATTAAAGAATTACGTCTAAATCCGATAAGCGTTGGAATAAATTTGTTTGTTTCTGTTGTTCAATTGAATTGTGCAAAGCACGAATTTAGCGCTATATTCTGCTCTTTGCTCTCATTTCATTTGACCCACGCGCGCATATTTTGCTTCCAATAACAAGGAAGCAACAACACCAACAAATATGCTTAAACGATGAATAAAGTGTTGAACTAACGACAACCACGATTTTTTTTTATCATTTTCATTTATTCTTCCATCATTTGCTTGTTGCAAAATAAAAACAGAAAACATTCAATTTTTCTCACTTGAATTCACACATACAATTTGTTTTTGTTATTAGTTTCATTAGTTTGTTTTGCTTTTGATTCGTTCAGAACGTGCTCGGTGTCGTTGTGTATGTGTGTGAGAGAGGAAAGCATCTCACATACAGTCAATCAACATCTATCTTGTTGTTTGACTCAGACACATTCACGCGCAAACATCACACACTACCAGTCTACCATAATAATTACGATGACAATGACGACAACGACGGCGACGACGATGAAGATTGTTTCAATGATTTGTTCACAGCGACATGCATGCCAGCTAGACTGAGCGAGACGGACTACAAAGAGAAAACATGAAACAGAGAACACGAACAGCACAAAGATGGGAAGAGAGACAAAAACTATAAAATGCACACCATATTATTTTCAATATTCTCTCACTGTCTGACTATATGCGTTATTTCTATTTTAGCCTAAATTTTACAATGATTTTAGAACATTCTGTCGTTTTTCCTTGTTTGTCGTAATGTAAACACCAATAAATTCAATAAGTGTTTTGGCTTTGGTTTTTACTGCTGCTCATTTTTCGAATTCATTTTAAATTATTGTCATTGAACTTTGCACGCAAACAACACAGCTTATTGAATCAATCCTTTCACAATTTTTTTGTAATTTCAACTTTCTAACCCAGCATTGAACAAAATAAAATACTGTCAGCATTCTTATTCACCTTTTTCATCCACATTGATTGCCTTGACTGGACGATCTCTTTTTTTTTTTTTGTTTATATTCTCTGAACTTTTGCAAGTCGAACCAAATTAAGAAAACAAATACACCATTTAATTTTCGCAAAAAACACAACACAACACTTATTTTGGATAGAAATTTTCACGTTCCTTTGATTCGTTTGGATATCAAATAAAAATTCCACAACTTTTCAACTCGTTTACAATTCGTTTCTCTTAGCTTATCTTTGTTTATAATTTATGAATTCGTATTTTTTGTGTACGAATTGGATCACATCACTACGAATACTATATATTCAGTCCGTCAAGCAGCCACATAATGCAAATATGCTCGTGATGAATGTGTGACAGGGATAGAGCGTTGCATTCAGTTTTGCAAAGACATTTCGTCGTTGTTTGTATTTGTGAAAGTGTTTTGGTTTTATGTGACGCCTGCCATTCTCGACCGTATTTCACTACAGTGTAAGACTTCTTTTTGCTGCTATTTGAAGCGCAGTTTGTTGTTTACAGACATCAATTGTATGTGTTGCCATCTAGTGCATTTAAATGGAAATGAAATAAATCGTAAAAATTCCTTTGAATTTCAAGCAATTTTATTTCACACTTTTTTTGTACAATAATATTTTCACAAAAAATTGTCAAAAAATTTCAGATTCTGATCTTAATTCTTATTTCACGAAATATATTGAATATTTCAAACAATAAATGTTGATACTAAAAATTCCATTACATTCGTGTGCAAACTTTGTCTAATTGAGAAAAAAAAAAGAATATAGCCAGGATCAAACTAGAAAATTATTTCAAATTGTATTGGCGAATAAATTCGAGGATGAGAAATTTTAAGGGAGTCGAGACTGTGTAAAAAATGCCGTGTGTGGATTTTTATGAGAATTAATAGATTGAAACAGTGGATTAAACGCGATTAAAAATTTTCAATCATCTTCTATATCTTTTTTTTATTTTTAAGTTAAAAGTAACTATTTTTATCCCTCTCATATCCAATTATAAAACGGAAAGAATTTGATGAAAAACAGATTTTCGTCTGTGTCAGCAAAAAAATGAAATTTCTTTTTTTTTCGATCAATTATAAGTTCGTAAATAATAAGTAATAAAGAAAATATGAATTGATGTAGTTTTTTAGGTAACACGTGACATTTGTTTATCATTTCCTTTCGTTATCGCCAAATTAATTGCTGTTGCTGCCTGTTTGTGTTTGATTTCCGAGTGAAAAATTAGACGAAAATTGCCAACAGATTTTTACGGATTTGTTGAAGCGTTGTTTTCTTGGGCACACGATTGTATAAAATATGCTGAAAAATTGGTAAAAGAGGCCATTGAAAAATAGTTTACGACCTTGTTAGAAAAGTAATAAAAGCAGCACGTCATAAAGTATTTTTCTTCTTCGACTTCTTTTTCGAGTGATACAGCCAAAGACGAAAAGGAAATATAAAAAAATTGCCGTTGATTTATGTACCGCAATTGGTTTTGGACCAAAAATTTCAATGTTTTTAATTATTGTAGCTCAAAATTGGCCACAAAGAGTCAAAGGTACACTGACGATCTATTTTTTTTTTCGACTGAGCAAAGAAAAGACAAACGGTACTGATCATATTTAACATAATTTAACACAAAAACAACACCAAAGTATTTATCAGAGTAAAATATCGAAAAGAAAAAAAAACTGAAAATGTACAAATCAAATACGGAAGCGATCCATAAAAGAGAAAGTAACGGAATGAAAAAAAAAATGAAAAATGAAATTTTAAAAGCAATAAATAAGGCAATTAAGCAGTTACGCCGTACCGCCCAGAATATAGATCAATTTGGGAATGTTGTCGACGTTACCGTTTTTACCGTCGTCGATGATATAGACGACGACAGGACTCGACAACAACAAAAACCAATAAATTTCAAAATGTTTATGTTTTTGTCAGATTCTTCTCTCCAAATTTGTTTTGCGATTGAGTTGAGTGCAACCAAATTTATTATTAATTTTTCTCAAATTTCACAAAATATTGGCTTCTTTATTCGTCCTTTGTTCAGTTTTTTTCCTTCTTCTTGTTTTAAAAAGTAGTCATGTTCACTTAATATGATTTATTAACTGAATCTATTGAAAAGAACAAGCTAAGGGGTATATCGAGGTTTTCAAGAGCAAAATTCTGGCGCCAACGTGCTGAGTGCAACAGAATCTTGAACCAATTGAACAGTGTTTGAATAATAATTATTCTATTATTAAAACAAAAAGTGTAATAATTTTAAATTGATAATCAAAAACCAATTCAAACAGGAACTAAATGTAAAAAATCGGTCGAAGATCAAAAGATTTTGTTGCTTTTGCCGCTGACATCAAAGAACATTATTAAATATGATCAGTCAAGAAACTGTCGTAAACATATAATTATCATCAATATTTGTCCTGATCCATAAATACGACCAGATGCGCTTTACATAATATGATGATAACGAAGCGGCTAATGAAACATTTAGTGACTCTATGCTACTCTCACGCATTTTTATTAATCTGAGAGTGTCCCACAGCACCAATAAATGTATGTTTAAGTAGCGAATTATCTTCGAATTTTATAGCATTTTTACTAATAGTACAATTATCTAATCGAACGGCATGCTTTTCATCTAAAAAATTTTTCACTTTCTTGTCTCTTGAGTGCATGCAGTTGCTATGCAAAAACACGGTAAATTTTATTGCCATTCCGAGAATAAATCGCCGTCAGGATATGATGTTTACTGAGAAACGGTAAAATTATAAAGAAAAAAAGTGCATCTCATGTCTGAAAATGCCGACACATTGATTCTAAAATGAAATGTTAAGACAATCGCACATTTGCATTGTGGTTCACAATGTTAAGACGAATCAAACTGAAAATAAAAACTTTGTTTCAAACAGAATGAGAACGTCGAGATTCTAGGCAAAAAAATGTGACGAAATTCGTTGGTTTTTCCTCGTGTGTACACATTCACGTCTGTGAATCTTTAAAACAACTGCATGCAAGCCGTAAAAATGTCGTGTTCAATTAAAATCACGTTAATTAATGACTTTTTACTACACGCTGGAAATCACAATTTTCATCTATCAACCATTTCATTCATGTTTGAGTCTATTTTTAAGCGATACGTTCGCATCGTAAAAAATTTCATTTTTTCTCATCTAAAAAAAACAAAAAATTGGAAACGAATCGAGAGCATATTCAAAATTTGGAGCGAATATCATCCTTTCTTTTAAGAATAAGTTCTTCTTATTCATTCTGAGATTTGTTTGTTTCGTAATAAGAAATTCAAAGCTATTAATTGCTCTTAATCAAACGATTTGAAATTAAAATGTTATTAACACCATTAGTCATTTAAATGAATGAGATCGTTTCGCATACGCGCCAATTCAATTGAATTTCTTCGCTGGAAATTTTATTCGAATTCTCACAGCAAAAAAAAAAGACGTCATTCACTCGTGTTGGCTGGCACCGGCGACAAAGCCCACCAAAATCAAATCGAATTAAATAAATTGTGTGAAATCGTGTCGGTTCCTGAGCGTTCTTATTAAATTATAAACAAATTATGCTTTGATGATAATAATATACTCGCTGGTTTGTTAATTTACTAAAACAAATTTATCGCAAAATCAAATTATACAATTCTTCATTATGCATCGCGTTGCAGTACAATAGCAATCGTGTTCTCAATTAATTTTTCATGTCAGCCGAAATGCTTTTACTCCTCCCACAAAGTGCGTGGCTTAATTTGTGAGCACGTGAATATATGCAGTGATACACAGTAAACGAATGAACAAACAAAAATGTGTTCAACATTTGTTGGCGCAGTGATCGAGGTTCGTGTATGAATAAATTCTGAATCATAGCATAAACAGATAGAGTGTGTAAAATATCTCTGTCGAATGAGAATACAGAGAACGATGAGCTCAGCTATATCGCGCCGAATAAGCGATATACGCAAAGAACGATGGCATCGAAGGAATGAAAATCGAAGAAAAAAGCGGGAGAGAGAGAGTGAGATTGTAAAAAGGGAAGGAGCTGCTACGACATATCGATTTGGGCACCACCGTCTCATCAACAACATTTCAACATAATTTCAGTAGGCATTTGACTAGCGTTTGATTAAGTCTAAAAACCAATTCATTTTAATTTGGTTAATTTGGTAAAAAACCTTTCATTTCAAACACATTGATCTTTCTGTTTTTGTGGTTTTTTTTTTGCGTTGAAGTTATTGAACTGAAAAAAGTGCGTACAACGCATTTTGTGTTGATTTATTCTGAATATTTCGTGCGCGCACCCATTAAAATTGGCAACGCTAATTCAATTAAAATTCTCTTATATTAAGAGTGTTATTTTTCTTACTGCACGCGTGTGTTCGTGTGTGACACAGCATCGTAATTTAATTAAAACTACAAACAAATTCAGTGAATACTTTTCAATTAGACACGCACCTGATCAATTTGAATTGACGATAGAAAGTGATTCAAAAAATGTTGAATTTTAACACGATTGATAATTCGAACGCATTTTCACATCCGATCCCGTTGCATAGCGGAAATTTTAATGAAACCGCAAGTGCAATGGTTACATCATCCTCATCAAATCATTCGAATCAGTCTCAAGCGCAACAGATTAACTTGAATTATCTAAGTGCAAATGGCAACGACGATCAAACCAACTGGACGCATTCTGAAACTGCTCATAACAGTAGTTCGACAATCGATGACAATTGCAATCGAAACAACAATAATTTACCAAGTGAAACGGATCGTGTACAACATCATCAGAAGGATTATTTGCAAACGGTTATTACTGATACCGAATCATACACGCGATCGAATTTAAATATGGGCAATTATCTGCAACAAAAAGGGTCGGAAAATGTTAAAAGGTTTTCGGTGAATAACTTGTTGCAATTGGCAAACAATTGCCGAGCCCTTGTTGATGACCATCGATTATCTTCGGGTGAGTATGATTGAAATGGTGTTTATTTTTGGACGTTGATGACATGGTTATTACTAGACAAAAAATGTGTGATTATAACACCGAATCTGTGAATTAGCGAATCATTGAGGGAATGGTTGATTAGCATAGTTATAAGATAGTGTGTTTAGAGTCGAAAAAAGGTGTATTGGACGGAAGGATCGGACGAAAGGTCAAACCGTCCTTGAAATAGTATTGAGCCGTCGCAATATCGAGCTAATTTGTGTATTTTCGTGACAAAGAGAACGTGTCTCTTAACATCCAAATTAGTATCTCTCTTTTCTACTGCCTGTTTTGAAGGACGAATCGCTATCAATTTCATATTTTTAAATCTATTCCATAAAGTGGACAGTGTTAAGACTTCAAAGAAATTAATTAATAACTTGCAACATTAAAAACTCTGTATAATATTAAAGCTAATTGAACGCAACAAAATAGCAATCTTTCGATTTTGTTCGCAAGTTTTACGGCTTTATCTTCCGTTGCATTTCAATTACAGTAACGATTTATCTTAATTTATGAACATTACTTCTGTCATGTACTTTTATCATGCAGCATATTTTATGGCCAATTTTCTCCTTTTTCTTAAGTTGTTGTTGCTTTTTTCTTCTTGCTCTTTCTCTCCCAAAAAGTTCTGTGCATTTTTTTTATTCGATCGTTTTTCTTCACGAATTCCCTCGGCGAATCGTCACATTTGTCGTTTTCCATCTGCATATTGCTTTGATACATCTTTTCCACATCAATTAAAATGCATTTGCATCAACGAATACGGAGCGCGTGAGCTACGGCTCATTTTCACTTAACCGCGACATATTTTACGCGATCATTAACCAAATTGGTTAACATCTCACCACACAAACAAACTTAAAGATTTTTTTTTCTTCAAGTGGAAAAATATAAAAAAAGGATGTAACGTGTGTTCTAAGTGTTGTGCCAAGTGTATTTCAAATGAGTTGCTTTTTTGTGGTTTCGTCAACGCGGTTTGAATGACAGAATTTATGTTGATGTATACAGACAAAGTGAAAAATATGGAATACCTATTACGTTCAAGTTTTTTTTACATGTTATGAAAGAGATTGCTTTGAACACGGAACGAATGAATTTTCGATCATAAAATCTTTCATCCAACAAATTGTCAGCTATTTCGATGAAAGTGTGGTGAAAAAAACTGTCACCATAACACATAAATTGTAATTCACTCCTTTTAACTTTATTACAATTTACATTGAGTATCAATTTGAACCGGATAACGTAAATTTCAATTTTACGTCTCATGTCATTGAATAGGGGGTGAGCGATCTCGATTTGAAAAGAGAGTATAACAAAATAGAGTGATTTTTCTCAAATCAAATTATTCCAATCACTCAATTTAATTTTTATTGAACAGTCCCAATTAGACGAAAAAAAATTAAACTATTAATCAAATTTTCTTGGTCAAACGCCCATTTCAAATAATTATTTTTTCAAAATCTCTAGCACTTATGAATCTGTAGATTTCACTTGATGTTGTGAGGAAATTTAATACCACCACTTCAACGGATTTAAAAAAAAAACACTTGATAAATCCAAATAAATAAATCGCATTGGTGCTAGATGCCGACAAGCAACCTAATATCGGTGTATTAAACATCTTAACTGAACGGGAAAATTCTCTGTCTCTCTCAAAACTGTTGAACACGAAACCAATACAGTGAATTATGCCACGCGAAGAGTAAACATGCACTTTTCAATCCCTCTACAAATCGTCTTACGCAAAGACAAAATGTAACAATTTTACCATATGGTTGGTTATACGGTTGAATGGCAAGCGACAAAACGAAAACATACAGATGAAACAACATAACATGCATTGCTACAGATTTCAGAGATCATTTTTCATTCTTTGCTACTTGTTTCGTTCTTTTTTTCTTATTTTGAATTTAAAACTTCGTGGCGCACTGTTACGTTTGCCTTGCAGTTTCAAATGAATTGGCGGCGCATTTCAAACAACATATTTTTCTGCAAACAAAATTATGGATAGTAAAGATTTTATGAGAGGAAAATTTGCACTTCAGGCGCCTTAGCTAATAGTTGGATTATTTTACGAATGATGATATTGTTAGGCATGATTTTTTTTTTTTTTTTCAAAGGAATACACAGAGCGACCCTTACACAAAGAGAATGAAAATTCAAGCAACGTGTGTGTTTTCCGTTAACATTCTCAGTCCATTGGGGATTAGTGTTCTTTTTTTGTATATAAACGACTTTTTATGTAAAAGAGTAAACTGTCAACCGGATTTGAAAAGGAAATTCGGTTGAAAAGTCAAAATTCGAAAGACACCGATGTTTTTTTGTCTCAAAAGAAAAAGTGCATTGACTTCAAAATGAACAACTTACGATTGGGTTCACATGAAAGAGTTAAAAAAAATACAAACGGAAAATACTGAGTTTAACAACATTTTCTCGAATATTTATGTAGATCAGAGCAATACTTTTGATTCAAAATCGACGGCAGGACATACTCGATTTTATAGAGTTTTTTCTTAATTTTTGTGTAAACGAAATGGTTGTCATCGCCCTCGTCTTCAATTAAGATTCGTTGTATTTTTTATTATTCGTTATATAGCTGGCAACTCAAAGGTATCAAGATTAATCTAATTCTTTAGTCGTTTATTGCAAATGAAATGTGGTATTAATTTGCTCAACTATTATCAGATCAACGATCAATCAAAGTTGCTGAGATTCTTGGCATTTAAAAATCGCACGAATCGCAATGTGCATCAGAAATTCTTTTTTTTCACTTGAAAATATATCGCGTTTGATTAAAATTAAATTTAAACAAAATCATCATTGTTTGCGTGTATTTTGCGAGTGACTGTGAATGAGTTTTATTATATCATCCGTCAGAGTATGTTTAATGAAAGACACATTTTTCTAATTCACAGAAGAAGCGTATGGGAGTGATCATTTGAACGAAACGTCGAGCAATACATGTATGGTAAATTCAACGAAGAAACCACGACGTAATCGAACCACATTCACAAGCGGCCAACTGAATTCATTAGAAAAAATATTCGAGCGAACACATTATCCCGACGCTTTTGTAAGGTAATAAGTTTTATTCATGACTAGATCTATTGAAATATAATTACGAATCTACTGATTTACATTTATAAATTCGGCTTACAGAGAAGAGTTGGCATCAAAAGTTGGATTGAGTGAAGCTAGAGTTCAAGTTTGGTTTCAGGTACGTCGACAACGCCATTTTTTTGTGATCGAATATCAAATGACACGGTTCGCACCACTTCGGCATAATTCATGGAAATAAATTAAAATTATTCAATTTCAGAATCGTCGTGCAAAGTTTCGACGCAATGAGCGTTCAACGTCAAATCGTTCGCTGGTTTCTCAGTCACCGGGGCAGCCGGTTCCAATTCTTGCTCATAACCAACACAAAGCAATGGATAAATCACATTTTCCCACATCGTCACCAATTGATGGCATTCCAATCACACCAGCGACGCATTATTCACTTGGTTTCACTAGTTTGGGCGTATTTTCAACGGCAGCAGCAATGGCAGCAGCCAATTCATCAAAAAATTCCAATTTCAATTATGGAAACGCATACAATCCGTATCATGCAGTTGGTCCGGCTGATACCAATAATCCTTACCTTGCCAACAATTACTGCCAACCAAACTACAATAATTTTGCATCATTTAGATATAAGCCACAAACCGTTCAACCGCCACCATCACATGGATACTCAACCATTTAGCATATATCTTCTGTTTAATGTGTGAACATTTTTTTATTCTTGTTTAGAATTTACGTTTCGTTTACAGATTAAGGGAAATATTACTTCAGGATTGATTTTCAACTTGAACCGTGACTGAGTAAAAACAAATATAATAAAAGTCATTGATTTTACTTACATATGCACAATTTCCAGTGAATAAAACATCTTAAATAAAAATTCTATTCCCGTTTAGTCACAAAACAAAAATTTTATATTCAAAATCATGTTTACGTCTTTGCAAATATCAAGACTTTGTGACATAAATAAAATTGAACTGACGCAATAGAATGAGAAACGAGTTAAATCTCAATCATTTTTATCTGTATCATTGATTTTACTTTGTTTTTAAAATAATTTAATTAGATAATGAACGTATTGAATTACATAAAAACGCGTGAGTAAATTGGTGCTTGATAATAATAATAATAAAAGAAAATTAAATTCAAAAAAATTCATTCATCTTCAATCGAATAGGTATTAAAATATTTTTTTCCGCACAGCTGTGTATCGTTCCATGTACTCCTCATAGCCATCGAGTTCGTTGAATTTTTTCGATGGGAATAAATTACCGTCCAAATATAGATTGGACACTTGCGATTCTTTCAAAATGGCCGAATGAATTTCGGTGATGGGCAAACAATTTTCTTCCAATCGTAATGTTTTCAATCGTGGACATTCGGCAATTTCCGGTGCCAATGTTGCAATTTGATTTTGATTGCAATTCAATTCGGTTACGGCCAAATTTTTTACTTCAGGTGGTATTGACGCGATTTTATTCCGTGATAAATCCAAAACGTCCAGATTTTTCATTCCACCAAACATGGTTGGGAATTGTGTTAATTGATTGTTGTTTAGATGCACTTGCTTTAGATGTTTTAGATTAATCAGTTCTTGTGGAATGCTTACCAGCATATTGCTCATTGCGTTAAATGTTTCCAATTTGATTAATTGTCCAATGGTAATAGGTAATTCGGTGAGACGATTTTCACTAAGGTTCAAATGTTTGAGCAACGTAAAACGGCCAATGTCATCAGGTAGCGTGACAAAGCGATTTTCGGACAAATCTAATGTTCGCAAACAGTTCGGAAAACCTCTCATGTGTGGTGGAAATTCCGTTAAACGTTGCTGTGATATCTTCAAAACGCCCGTTTTTTGTGCCGTTTCAAAATGCTGCTTCACTACTTTGTTGCCCATTTTGTTTATGTTACTGCAATGAAAAACAAAAACACTTGCTATCATCAAACTCACAATACTCTGTTATAGTGTGCAAACACAAATTGAAGGTCTTTACTTTATATGAGTCACTTGGGTCACACTCAACTTCTCTTTCTTTCTCTCTCCCGTTCACTGTGACACTATCGATTAATTTTGTTCAAAGTCAAACGCTGACTTAATTCACTCTAATCATTTATTTTGTTAATTTATTTAATAATCCAACGATGAAAGTTTTCACAACACACACAATCTGTTGATTAATATGTAAAATGCGCATGACAGTTCCCTTTATATTGTCAGCTGAATTTTATTTGACAGATCACTTTTCAAATACAGTTGGTGTTGAAATTCGAATTTGAAAAAAAAAAAATTGTGAAAAGAGTTTGAAAATTTTGAAAGTTTTTTTTGAAGAAATCCTCTTTAATTTTTTTAAAAATAAAACTTTCAACAAAAAACAGTGAAGTTGTTATTATTTGCATTGGCCGTATGGTGAATTCCAATATATTTATTCACCACAAACGATGACACTTCCATTGTGAGAGGTGTCAAATCCAGAGTACATAATTTTTTTTTTGATCAATTTAAGAAAACAATACTTTCTCTCCATAAGTTTCATCGCAAATCATTCAGCACATTCGCAATTCGATAAATCATGATTCACAGTCTGTTTATTGTTAATTCCAGTGGGTAAGATCACTGACCAAGAAAAATCTTGCAATTTATTTTGCTCATTTGTTTAAACAATTTTTTTTACAGCGACATATTTTTGGAGAAACATTGGCGTAGCGTCATTTCGCGTTCCGTATGTGATTATTTTTTGGACGCACAACGCGCTTCACCTAACGTACGTATAGCAATGCCGCTTCAGTGATTTGACAAAATAACGAAATGTTGGTTGAATTTTCAGGATGTGCCACCAGTGATTCAAACTCCACACTTTTATTTGATTACCATTCAACGTGGAAATGTATCATTAATTGCGGCATGTAAGCAGGAAACACAACCGCTGTTTGTAATAGAGTTCTTACATCGCATTGTTGATACGTTCCAAGATTACTTTGGCGAATGCTCCGAATCTATAATCAAAGAGAATTATGTTGTCATTTACGAATTGCTGGATGAAATGCTTGACAATGGATTCCCGTTAGCTACTGAAAGTAATATATTAAAAGAACTCATTAAGCCACCAAATCTTTTACGCACCCTTACAAATACAGTTACAGGAAAATCCAAGTGAGTATGCATAGAATTTGATACACTCTTAAAGTTTGAGATCAATCTCAAGAGCATTTTATTTTTCGTTTGATTTTACATATGCCATTCTTTTCCATGTAGTGTTAGCGGAACACTGCCCTCTGGTCAACTTAGTGCAATTCCATGGCGCCGATCTGCTGTTAAATATACAAACAACGAAGCCTATTTTGATGTTATTGAAGAGGTTGATGCGAGTATGTATCGTGGCATCGTTTTTATTTGAGTGCTCATAAAATTAACAAATTTTCATCTATTTACAGTAATTGATAAATCCGGGCAAACCGTGTTTGCGGAGATTCAAGGATATGTTAGCAAGCATTCTTTATATATATGTAGTTGTGTTTTGTCCATTTCTTAGAATCTAATCCTTTTGCCTTTCCGACATTTAGATCGATTGTTGCATCAAACTCAGTGGAATGCCTGATTTAACATTATCTTTTGTCAATCCACGACTCTTCGATGATGTTGCTTTCCATCCTTGTGTTCGCTTCAAGCGATGGGAATCCGAACGGACATTGTCATTTGTTCCTCCCGACGGAAATTTCAGATTGATGTCCTATCACATTGGTTCGCAGAGCGTTGTTGCTATTCCAATTTATGTGCGACACAGTTTAACATTTAAAACGGGCGAACAACAAGGTAAATTGGATATAACAGTTGGCCCGAAAACCACATTGGGACGATCGATTGAAGGGGTTAAATTGGAAATTTGTATGCCGAAATCGGTGACAAATTGTTTGCTCGTGGTGAATCAAGGCAAATACTCATTCGATACTGTCCAAAAAATACTGCATTGGGAAGTTGGCCGTATTGACCCCACAAAATTGCCATACCTTCGTGGAACAGTATCGGTTGCCATCGGCAGCACCAATGAAACGAATCCATCGATCAATGTTTCATTTTCCATTTCACAATTGGCTGTGTCCGGACTGAAGGTCAATCGTTTAGATATGTACGGTGAAAAATATAAACCATTCAAAGGTGTCAAATATGTTACGAAAGCTGGCCGATTCCAGATTCGAATGTAAGGTCTACTCGACTGGACCAAAAAAAAGTCATTACACAAACTGTTGCGATTTGCATCAAGCAACAGTAGAAGCAAAACAACAAATCATTTTTATATTCCAATTATTTACAAACACTTTTTTTTATATATAGCTATTCCAATAATATTTTAAGAATTGTGCTACTATCTTTTCTCAGTCAGAATGTTGTTTGTAATCAAAAAGCTAGAAAAAAAAGTAAAAAAAAAGAAAAATCAAGCGAAAAACAAATACCGTATTTATTCCATTTTTCCAATGACATTTCCAATGGTTGAATTCAAGTGTGTTTGTTGGAAGGTTGGTGACGTTTCATTATTGCCGCTGTTTGACAGATCAATCTGACAGCTCTCATTTTTTCTTTGTATCAGCGAAAACAAATCGAATAAACTATATACATTCTGACATAGATTAAATGGTTCTTTTTGTTGTTGTTGTTTTTTTTTTCATTCTATTAAATCGTAATAAAAGTATATTTGAAATTATTGAAAATTGATGATGTTTTTTGTGTTTAAATTTATTGTATTTTGCAAGTAAATCGAACCTTAAGTCATCGTGTATTCCCTAGAAAAAAGTAGAGGAACGAAAAAAATAACTTTTCAAAATGGGTGCTTCAGAATGGGATGGTAAATAATCAATTTCGTTTTGATTTAACAATTTTATAACAAATTTCGTTCGAATTATTTAGTTCTTCGAAAACAAGCTCGGAAGCTGGAGAATGACATCGATATGAAATTGGTGGCATATAGTAAAATTGGAACATCGACAATGCCCAGCACATCGGCCGACACAGCGCCACTTTTAAGCGAACACGTATTCGATTCACTGTCGATGGAAATTGAACAAATGCTCGACAAAGTGAGTACGATTAATGAATTGCTGCGACAATTGATAATCAATTTTAATGATTCTATTACAGCTATCGGAAATAAATGATAAAATGTCTGAGATTCCACTAACCGCCGACTCATACATGATACACACATTGCAACGTCATCGTGAAATTTTTAATGTAAATTTTGCTTATTTCGATCAATTTGAATGCAAATGAAGTCGGCTTCAAAGAGATGTAATGAATGAATTTTGTGTTTTATTTTAGGGCTACAAACAAGAGTTTAGTAAAATTCAAGCAAATCACACGACACGATTGGAGCGTGAAGAACTATTACGTGGATCCGGTATTTCAATGGGCAGCGGGCTGAGTCGACGCGATATGTACTTGAAGGAAAGCACACATTTGCATGGGTATGCTTGTTACGTTTCGAACTTTTCTTGAAATTTCTTATGTGTTTCGTATTTGATTGTAGATCACATGGCCTTGTAAGCGATCAAATCAGCATCGCAATGGAAACAAAGGAGCATTTATTATCGCAACGTCAACAATTTAAACGATTTCAAACGCGCTTGAACGATATGTCAAATCGATTCCCATTGATATCAAGGTAAATAGAGTATTCCAAATCGATGACCGTCCAATTAATAACATTGTTTCTCTTTTTCATTTTCGATTTCAGCTTAATTCAAAAGATTAATATCCGAAAACGACGGGATTCCTTCATTTTGGGCATAGTTATGGCCATTTGCACATTTTTATTAATCCTATATGCATTCAATTAATAGTTATAGCATTGGAATTGAACTCTTTTTTTTATCTATACGTCAAGCATGAAATTTTCATTTGATACGATTGATTATCAATATCGTTAAATCTGTAGGGTTGCAATGTTATTAAAGTAAAGAGGAAAATCTTAGAGAGCATTTTATGAAACGAAAGAGATATCATTATATACATATATAAAGAATGTAAATAAATTGAGCGCATAATCTTTTATAATATCGTCAAGCAAAAATAAAAATTTATTTCATAGTTTATTATTCAAAAGCAAAAAATAACATCGAAAAATTTATTTTTGATATTTCGTAGATTTTCTTTGTGCGATTCATTCCGTAAAAGTGTAAGTATGGTCTTTATTTCATTGCAAAAAATTTGCTTTTATATTTCTTTATTCTTTCTTTACAAAGAATGACTATGAAATTATAACTGTTTTTTGTACCATTTTTATATGACCTGCTCCACTCGCTTTGAATGTTAATTAGATACGAGTGGAGAAATGGTATAAAGCGTTGAGTTATTCTTTCAGCATTTACACCGCAATGCTTGAAAATGTTTTGAAATTCTTTGCAATAACATTTCGTGTAGAATCTGTTGAATATTTACTATTCATATTTTGAAACGAAAACGCATAAGACATTTTTAGTCTGTTCTGAAAAAACGAGTTAATTGACTTGAATTTGCTGTTGTATGTTTTTCTTATTGAAACATTCTTGCAGGCATGGTGTTGACCAATAGAATATCTTTGATTCATTTTCTGTTGAATTACAAATTTAACGAAATTCATATAAATATTTTGGGTGGATCACCCTAATCAAAATAAACACACTAAAATATGCAAACAATGTCTAGCATAGTATTTCGCCTTCGTTTATCGTCGCGTCTCACTTTATTCAATCGAATGTGCTTCGTTTTGATTTGTCAGCAGTTTGTGTTCAGCAGGCCCGACGAAAAACGTATACACACAAATACAACAATTCCAATTGCATAAAACAGAACAGGACGATTATACGATTCTGACACCGAACTCTTCAAGTGTATTTGTTTCGGATTTCGCCGTTTTCGTCTTCATCGCATAGAAACCGCTTCATTCTGCATTAGTGCTTTGACAAAGTCGGGACTGTGCTAGGGAATGTGCACGTACGAGTTTAGAAAATTCTTTTTAACAATTTTAAAAAGGATTTCTCTTTAAATATCTTTATAGTGTAATGTAGATTTCTTTTTATCTAATATTTTGAAAACATTTTTTATTCTTGTGGGTGAGTTGTATAGTTTTTTTAAGTGATCAAATCAATTGTACGGATTGATATAGAAAATGTCGTTGAATCATTAGAAATTTATTGTATCCATCATATGAGATTGTTGTTTGTTTGATTTGAAGAGCGCATTCTAATGAACCAATAAGCAACAAGCGTCTTAAAATCAAAAGAATCAAAATTGCATCGAAATTTGAGTCGAAAAATGTTGCTATTCAGATCAATAGGGCAAGAGATGTCTCAGCATCTCAGTGTTTACAGTGTTTATTTAGCTGTTCAAACAGTTTATGTGTATTAGCCGCTTGTGGGAATGTTTATGTCAAACAAGAACACGAATGTTTATAATTTCATGAATTTGAATTTGGGAATGTGGTTTTCCGAGAATGAATATCAATCTTTTGATATGATAATTTTCAACTATGTTTTTATAAATTGTTCTTGTTTTGAATTTGACGGTTTAATATTTAAAACAAATATTTTTTTACGCAGCTAAATGACTTCTGAAGCAATGGCTGAACTCTGTCGAAAGTTATACCAAAGTATTTTAAAATCAGTCGAATCAAACGAAGATTTGCAAAAATATTCGGTGATTTTTTCGACCATTTTAACCGAGTAAGTTTTTTAGGGCAAACGATTAAGTATCTTTGCATTAACATTTTTTTTTTTGGTTCTCCTGCTAGAAAGATCAACAGATACGAAAGAAAATTTCAAGCGCTTTTGAATGAGGCGGGTGTGATTTTGCAAAATAAAAATCTTTCGAACGATGATTCCGAATTGATCAACAAAGAAACTCTCAACTGCCATGACGATGGCATTGAAGAAACGGTAGATGGAGACAAATCATTTGAACAAAATCTGATGACCGATTACGATAAGAATGTACGGAACATGGTGGAAAGTATTTTTCAGGTAAATTTTTAACATTTAGAAAATATACTCTTTTGGGGATAGAGAGAGAGAGAGCTTCGAATAATTATCAATATTTTTTAGGATACCGTAAAAAGTAAAAAGATGTCCAACGAAATGAAGAACGAAAACAATGGCGAGGACTTAGTCATTGACGCAGAAACTGACATTGAAAGCGAAAGCGATGGTAGCCAAGTAATCGATGACAATTTTGTAAACCAACAAACACAACATTTGATGATCGAAGCAGTCCAACAACAGCTAAATTTTCAACAAAGTTCCGATCCAGAAAACGGTATCGGCAGCTCAATGAATCTCGTCCAAAGATTCGAAGTCCGAATTGAAGAAAAAACCATTGTGACAACCACCAAAACAGAGGAACGGTGTGACACTTCAGAAGAAGAAATAGCTGTGGCTGAATCTAACAATAAAAAACATAAATTACTAGAACAATTCGACAAAAAAACGAAGTTGAAACGACGGAAGAGCGAACATCAATTTGTATCAGGTGTGTACTTGCTATTGTATATTTATTTATTATAGTTATATAATGAAACTATGAATTGAAGGTATCAATGGAATGACTTCAACACCACAAGCACCGGTACACGAGAAAGCCATGAAAAAACGACACTCAAGCGCACGTAAAACAATCGATTCGCAAATCGAATTGGAAAAAATTCGAAAAACTAACCAGAACAAACAACCTAAGAATCCGGATCGTAATCGTCGATCTTCATCTGGTATGTATATCGTTTATAATACGCATATTTCTGATAAAATATAATTGAGTTATGAATTCAAGATATCGAGCCATCGTTGAAAAAAGACAAGACGGCGAATCCCAAAGCATCGGTCTACGAAAAAGCCATGAAAAAGCGACAGTCAAATGCACGTAAAAGAATTGATGGCATCAAACCGTCGTCGGTGGAAGGAAATGGAATGAATTCAACACCGCAAGCATCGGTCCACGAAAAAGCCATGAAAAAACGACACTCAAGCGCACGGAAAACAATCGAATCGCGAAGCGAATTGGAAAAATGCAATAAAACGGCTTCGAATACACAAGCACGAATGTCGATTGGATCGTTGGATAAATTGCAAAACCAGCAAAAAGAAAACAAAAGCAAACAGTTAAAGAATACGGATCCTAAAATATATGCCAAAAATAGTTTGCATGGTAAATTTTGTCAACTTTGTAACAAAAACGAACGTTACTTGGTAAACCACTATATGAATCAGCATCCAGACAGTGAAGTGATGATCAGCAGACCCTCGCCAACAATGGCCAAACGTTTGCTTTCTCAAAAGGATACATTCAGCATTGATGGAATGAAAATTCTTGGTTTTTGCTTCTTTTGCGAAGAATGGAAGAACATGACAAGATGCAAATGGGCAGAGCATATTTTGACCCATACTGGTCAGTGATTTGATCAAAGTGCCATCCAAACTAAATGACTTAATTTATACGTATTTTACAGGTGAGAAGTTATTCAGGTGCTCGGTGTGCTATTTTGAATCGAAACGAAAACTTGAACACAAAAATTGCAAAAGCGAACCGGTCAACATTTATGAGTCGAATACAAGCGACAGTGCATTGATGGGCTTTATTTGCAAAAAATGTAATTACTTACTTTCATTACTTACTGATGAATTTCCATTCTTTCCGTTCATTTCTATGTGATTATTCTCCAGGTAATTACTTACAAGTAAAACGCGAACGAATGGTGAAGCACATGGTTAAACAGCACAAGTACCCCGAAGTCAATGAGGGCGTTGAATACGAAAAGATAATGCTGATTCCAGATCTGAAGGCCGTCGATTCAGCCTTACAATGGTCATTTCATGACTATATTGCACCGGCACAGATTTTCAAATGTGCAATTTGTTTCAAGAAATTACAAAATGCTGAAGCATTCGAAGATCATTTTGATAGAGAACATTACCAATCCTTTACACATTACAAATGCGTTTGCGGAGAAATGATATTTATCGAGGGTTTGACACTTACAGGCGGTTTTATTTGTGCACATTTGAAAATGCACAGTGCCAAAATTGATATGTATCAATGCATGATGTGTGACAAAGAAGGAGAGTTCGACAATAAGACAGACATTGAAGACCACTTGTTGAATGACCATGCTGATTGTCAATTCAAATACCGACACTTTCATCGTGACCCAGATACCAAAGAAACAAGCATCACCGAAATGACAACCACGAAAATCGTTTGCGAAATCTGCAGTGAAGATTTCAAGGATGCCAGATTTGCTGTTGCAATCGATCATTTCGAACGGAATCACCCAGAGGAAGGCATAAATTTGTACGGAAGTTCAACCAAAAAGATCACTCAAATGGCAAAAAAGATAACTACCAACAGAACAAGCTACTGCGGTGCCGAATATTTCACGGTTCGAATCAACTGAACATTTTATGCTTCGAATTTCTCAAAATTCATTCAAAACACAAAATTCATTGAGTTGTCACAAAATTGAAATGTCCCTTTGTAACATCTGAGATGATCAATCAGCTCAATTCAAGATTATTGAATACACCATAAAACTATTTTCTTACCTTTTTGATTAAGGAGACTATAATCGTAATTAATTCCATTAAGATTCAACTAAAAAAACTTTTAACCGTGTCATGTCAATTGAAATTCCTCAATAAATATAAAATATAAATAAAACGATGCTTTCGAATACTATTTTGTTTGTTTTTATTTTCTTTTTTTTTTGCATTTATTTGTCATCAATGAATCCTAATCCAGTCGCAACTGGAAAGTGTGTAATTTTTCTAAAACAATAACTTGTAAATCATTTACATAATAGTTTGAGTATTTTCGGCTTTTTTTTTGATTACGAATTGTGTGTATGTGTCTGAAAAAATATTCCAATTTTTGTTTTGACATCTTTTTTTTTACAAAGACATGAAGAGTGAAGACAGTTATCATTATTTATGGAAACGACAATTCGACTAAGTTCAATTCATCTACATGCATATGTTTAATTCTCTTCCTTCTTCTATCGGAAACAGCGTTCGGTGAAAAGAAAATCGATCGACTACAAATATTATTTTTCAGTGGCTAATTTCAAAATACGGTATGAATATATTACTATTCTTTTGTCAATTAACAACAATATCTCATTTGATTCGTAAAAAAACTGGCTGTTTACTTTGAAAATAGCATATTTTGGTTTGTGCATATTCTGCGGAAGCTGTATTCATAATACCGTATTTATAAGTGTTGACGATAGAAGCGAAATTTCGTATTATCAAAATGTCAAGAGAATAATGTCATTTTGCACTACCGCTAGCACTACTATTTTAACATTTTATTTCTTGTTTGTTCATTCGAACGAACCATAGTTACCTAAGTGGTCAGATGGTGTGAAAGCCGTAATAGCTTGTTGGTACTTTGAATGCATTCAATAAGGCGCGAGTTGTCTTATCGTAAACATTACTGTTCTATTATTCATCACAACCAAATTCAACCTTTTTTTGTAAGAGGTTTTTGGTGGTTCTTTCGAAAGTTTCACAACAATCTTTTCAGCGGATTTTTTTGTCGATTATTGGAAATATTGTTTTTATGCGAAATTTTATAATACATAAGCACTGCATAATGGAAGAATTTTCCATAAGTGAATACTTTTGTCAGATGAATTTGTACGAATCGTTTGCGCTATGATTTTATTTTAACGAAAAATGATGTGCATTCGCATAAATATAAAAAAAGTGTTACTTTTTAGTGGGCAGTAAAAATGTCATAGTTTTCCAAGTAAAGTCCCATTAAGTGTGTATATATACAACAATATTTTTTTAAATATATTTCTTGCGCATATTTCGTGTTAATTTCCTACTGTTAACTGCAGATGTGTGTATGTGTGTGTATTGTTATATTTAACTATTGAATGCGTTGTTCAGTTTGAATACATTTTGTTCAAAAATAATAATTTAACCATCTTTTAAAAGAAGAAACTTCTGGAAAAAATATTGAATTCTTCTTTCGACGGATATTTTGCTGATTTCTTTTTCTAAAAACAAAAATGAAATCTTCCTTTTTTCTCTCTGAACCGAAAATGTTCGCTTTCATTTCTTTTTTTTGCTTCGTTCTAAATACGTTAACAAATTGAAATATGTTTAACGCTAAAGTAATAATTTATCAAATACCTCTTCGCCTTTTGCTAAATAAAGAAAAATAAAATAAAATACATATAAACCGAAATCCAGTTACTTGAATTTAGATCAACTTATTTTAGAATAGAAATTTGCTAAAAAAACATCTATAGGTTAATGTTTTAAAATGTTAGTTCTCCTTCACGTTTGTCTGTTTCCAAATTTGAAACAAAAAAAAATGAGCTGATGTGGAAGAAATAATTAACATCAACAAGACAAAAAAGAACATATGATGCAAAGTACTCTGGAAATTTGAAAATAGACCTTCTATCTAAGTTGAATTGTTTGAAAAACATTTAAAATACACGCATTTTATTCTATAAATGTTAATTTATATGCTTGGATCTGCATGACATTTAACATACACGTATTGTGATGATGTATTTAAAATTGTATGTGTCTTTTTTTAAGTTATGACGACGGGTGACCACAATAAATGATGATGAATAGAAAGCAGAACATTTTTGTAAAAAAACGGAATGATTTGCCGGTCGTTCTATGATTAAGCTGCTGTTATCTCATAATATAAAAATATATAAAATTGTTCATTCAAATAGAGCTAAAAAAAATACCGTTGGAGTGGCTAAGAACGCGATTTTGTTATTTTAACGAAAAAGACATCAGTTGAATGTTTTGGAAAAGTTTGTAGAAAATATGTATATAAAAAGAACTTAAACGACGAAAACACATTTGAATGGACAGAGAATGTGAGAAACCTCATGAACCTCTTCACTACTCGAAGAAAAGCGATACATCTGCGTGTGCACACAGAAAAACACCAGTAATAAAATTGTTTTAATAATTACTGTTACCTTTCGACTGACAAATACCAATATCGCCAAACTCAGATCTGCTCCAAAAAAACATAAACATACAATTGTACTGCTGGTGTTTTTTGTATATGTGTTTTTTTATCAACTGAATTGAAATAGATACACTACCGTTTTATCCTATAAAATACAATTTATTTATATGCTGCATTTGATTTTGATTTGAATGTTTCAATCCTAACAAGTTTTTATTTGTTTTTTTTTTTTTTTTTGTGTTTCATTCTTCATATATTTTCACCATTTTTTTAAATTCTACAATTCTAGTGCCAATCCAAGATGACATTGACGTCATATTTGTATGTGTGTTTGTTATGGACTGATATAATTATGTGTCAAAATAAATATAATTATGTTATATTTTTCGTGTGTGATAACAATTGATGAGCAAGAGAGAAACAAAAATTAAAGAAAAACTTGGTCTAAATGTTTACAAATAATGTCGATTATGTTAAAAATACAAAAAATAGAATTATTTAATGATGTCATTCATTCGTTATGGCCATACAAAGAAATTTCAAGACTTAAACAGCGTCGGGAGGGAAAGATATTTAGCTCTAAATTAAAAAAGAATTAGTCAAAAAGTAGTAAAACTTTTTTCACAAGAGAAAAAAAGAAACCATGTTTTTTTTCTCATTTTTGTGTATGTTTTTTCTTTGTAAATCATTTTGTCTTTCAAACAATGTATCTGCGTTCGAAATTTAAATATTTCGATAAATGATATGAGCTTTTTCAATTAATAAATTACAATATATCTGAAGTTACAATATTTCGTTTTCTATTTTGTATGCGATGCTTTAGAGCTTTAAAATGCTTCTTTGTACAACTTACATATGAAATGAAAATCACTTCATTCCGAATCACTCTTTATAAACTTTTTGTTTTGCTATCTTGTTTCTTTCGCTTCAGTTTTTGTTGGTTTTTATTTCTCTTCTAATTAACGCAACCCGATTATACACATTACAATAGTTAAATAAATCGCATGCCTATCTCACTAGATCTTAAAAGTGTTTGTAGTATAGTAATTGTTTAATACAAATTTCAAGTGAAATGAAAATACGATTTGGATCTACGATAGTAAATTTCGATCGATAGTCTTGTATTAATGAAATATATGTTCAGAAATATCCTAAACGATTATTTGTTCGTTTAACATTGTTTGTGTGTATCGGGCGCTGATGGATGTTGTAATTGGATTGACTGCACGCGTTTTTAATGTGTTTGTGTGAATGTTTACTCGGATTCATCTTCCCGTTCCTCAAAGACAGGCAAATCGGCCGTTTTGAGCATTCCGCGTGACGCGGCATATTCGATTAAAGCTAAGTGACAGAAAATGTATTGATCCGGCATTTGTATTGAATAGGCGCGCTGAGATCGAATTTTTTCCACCGTTCCTTTTATATCGGCCGTACCAACATCTTCCAAACGAGCTATACATATGTCTAGTGTGATGAATGTACCTGAAATGTTGTAAATGCAAACGATAAACATCAATTTCGATTTTTGGCGAAAAATGAAAACATCAACTCACCAGTTCTTCCTATTCCGGCGCTGCAGTGAACGACGATCGGAGGTCCACGTGGATGGCCATTCCATTTATCGCCGAGTTCTCTAACCATTTGTGCTTGTTGCTCACGAACTCTTTGTAAAAAGTTTATCATTGCCATCGCACTGCTTGGCACACCATAATCAGGCCAACTTGTGAATTGCCAATGCGATATTTTTCGTGTTTCATCAGTCTGAAAAAACAAAGACAAAACAAAATATACAATATATACAAAAAAAAAAAAAGAAAAACTATATTCTTATACCTTTAAATTAGTAAGCTCTAGTGAGACGACGGTATAGTCTTCCTTTGAATCGACATGGTTTGTTTTAATGCGGAAATTATCGTATTGTCCAACACCATCAACATTCGTTTCCCAATATTGGCCGCATTTCACTCGGCCCCGTTCCATAACTCGTGTTGTCATCACAATAACATTTGTGTGTTGTTCCCAAACCATTCGCCAAAAATCACTAGACGTTTTCGGCAATGGTCCTTGCGTGGAAATATATGCGTTCTTTTGTTTATAACCATCGACAAAATTTGCATTTATATAATCGGATGTGGTATCGTCATTCAATTTTGATAAAACTACTCGACTATGATCATAGCATAAAACGTCTGTGTAACGATTTTTCACTAAATTGGATCGTAAACGAGCCTGTTGAAATGTACCATCCGGTGCCCGTGCACGAATTTCCGAATATTCTTTTGCCAAACCATCACGGCCAAGATCGCGCACCATCTGAACGATTTGTTCAATTGTTTTTGGATCGCCTTCCGTACATGCCAAACTATCGTCATCACTGAAACCAGACGATGCACTGCTCGGTGGATTTTCGGACCACATTTCGCTTATCGGCTCACCATTGCTACTAACATGGGCTGTGTCATCATTATTGCTCTGTGTGATTTTTGTATCGGTGCTAATGTCACTGACGCCGCTGCCATTGTTTTGATTGTTCAATTGTGGATCAACAACACTAACTAATTCAACGTCATCAACAGTACCATTGGCGTTACCATTTAAATTGTTGCTGGCTGTGCAATTGGTGTTGGTGTTGTTTTCTTTTGTTGGTGATGCACTTTGCGATGATGGCAATTGCTCACCAATATTGGCTGTGTGTTCGTCTTCACGATTCGTCATCGATTTGTGACAATGTAGCAACCATGTGGAATGATTTATTTGATGTGTACCACCAAGATGGATTGGCAATGTATCTCGTGGAACGTGCAAACTTAATTGTGGAATTGAAACGGTAAATACACGTTCACGCAATTTTTCACGCACAAATAAACGCAATATTTTGAACGGCGCCTTAAACCACAACGGTGCAGTAACAATCAATACTTTTTTCAAACGAGCTGGATAGCCACCCTGTAATTATAGAACAAGAAAAATATTTTAAAATTGATTTGTTTTCGTGATACGGTCTATAAATATTTGGAAAAAAAATGTTTACATAAAAATGGCGACCAAAATGATTTAATTTAAAATTTATTTTTAGTTTGATTTAGTGATGTGGAAACGAAAATCTCTTTGTGTAAATGGCACTTTCAATACCAACGAAAATATAAACAAGACTAAATAATCGATAAAAACGCATAGACGCACGCACTCGTTCATTCACGCCAAAATAATATCAACAAAAACAACAACAAATATCGATGCGTTTGACACAAAACAGGCCACAAAATTCAAGTGATTGCGAAATGCGAAAGGTAAAATGAGACAAATACGAACACACACAGACAAGCCTTCAACCGAACGTCAAACCATATGAATGAGAGGGAAAAAAATGAAACTAGCACTAACGGAAATAAACAGTTTGCCTTCCAACAAATACATTCGGCATGCACGCACAATTTTGAGTAGACTGTAGACTCACACTAGTACATAAGCATTGTAATACACAAGACCACGCACACAGGCGCAAAATTGCATCGAATACAAGCACAACCCCTCTATTTATGTTTCTTTTTAAATGCCTTCGACAACAGCCCCGAAACAATTTTGAGTTCTATGATTTCGATTTTATTGCCTCGCTCTCGCTCTCTATTGTTTGGCAAGCTGTGTTATTTGTTTAGCGAGAAATGTACAAATACAGGGAAATTGCTATGTTTCAGTTGAGTGTTGTTTATATTTGTTGGATCGTGCAGTGTTGTGAAGTTTGACTGCTGTTTAGAAATGCGGATGAGTCATCGAGTCAGCACGCAGCACAGCTGAAATGGACAGCACATTAAATTGCGCACATTCAATGTTGCATCGGAGTTATTATCTCCCATAAGCATTTTTCGAGATAACTTGGACAATGTCTTGCAACACAAAATGATTACGAGGGATGGAAAAGTTCTTTGGCACCAATCTTTCTCTTTTTTCTCTCTTGTATACATGTTGTTTACATGTTTGTTCAACTGAGATTCCAAAGAGTAAATGAAAACACGTATTCGGCCCTTTGAAATACGACGTGTCATTTTCTTTGGTTAATCTTATGCAGTGCTCCCATAAAAATATAGGGAAAAAACAGAGCAATGTCTAGTTATGAATTTCCATTTGAAATGCGTGCTCGTCGCATGAACGAGAATTCGGGTCGCACGAATAAAGCATACACATATTTTTCCATCAAAACAATGTAATTTCGAAACTTTTTTCCTTTTCTCTGACGTTCCAATTTTAGAAGTCTTATGCAACTTTCTCTTATATTTTTTATTAAAATCCTCTGTAGTTTGGCTTGAACAGAGTATTAATATTAATGGAATTTGTTTCGAGGCAAAATAAAACATATTCATGATTTAATATAGCTGAATAGAATATTTGAAGTAGAAATGTCATGGAATTATCTAAATATATGATTTATTATCGCAAACATATTGTATTATGTTTCTAAATAAAATGGAAAAGGTTTGATTAGAATTAAACTTGTTCTTTCTTCATTTATATTGCGTTTCAGTGCATACAAAGAATATTATCGGAAGCTCAAATTGGCGATATCTATGTCGTTCGATTCATTTCTGTGCTCATTTTATTCATGTGTGTATGCTATACTCATTATACAAAGGATGTAGTCTAAATTTATGACATTATTTCCATCGGTCGTTTGCCATGTATTCGAACAAAGAAACAAATTTGTATTGCACGCTTATTTTTTTCCCTTTTTTCTCTCTTCTCCATCGTTACCCGCATCAATTTGTTTACTTTACAACGAGCGGCATGTATTTTTGTTTTTGCTCCGAATTCTCTATACGGGACGCTGAATGTATAAAGACAATGAGATAGACCAGCGTTGCATTCATCATCATCTGTGTTGTTTATTGTGCGCGGTTCATAAGCTCGCCGTTTCAATGTAAAGTGCTTTAAACAGTATTTTTGTTCAGTTTCTTTTTGTCTTTTTTTTGTTTAGTTGGTTTTCATTTACGCTTGCCAAGCAAACATATGTGTAATTTGTACACTTGTTGTAAGTATAATATATGTTTCGTAAGCGACATACACTCAATTCCAATTGACGTTCGGCAAACACAAGTTTCGCGCATTTCAAAAAATACGTCAGACAAATTGTTTGACGAGAGCAGAAAAAAATACAGCGGTACAATTATGGAGCGTTTATTTTTGTTGTGTTTAATATCAAACCGATAAAGAAACTTTCACTCGGTTCGTGAATCAATTTGAACGTGCCACAAATTACGACTTTTCTTCGACATTGATGATTTATTAATTCTGACAAAATGAAAATGTCTGCAGCAGCAGATGCACGTCAAATAACTTCGACGTTCTGAAATCGTTTTTTTTTGTTTTTATTATCTCGGAAAATCCTTCTATGAAAATAGAGATGGATTTCGGTTTGAGCGCCACAAAGAAACGGTGAAAACACATTAAAAAGAATCAAAATAAAAACCAATTGATGGGTCAGTAAATGTTACAAAAAACAGAGCTGGACATTTGGCGAGAAATCATTTTGATAAATTTCATTATTTTTTTTTTTTTTTCTTGGCCATTGATTGCTTTACCAACATATTGCTTGGCAAAAGTTACATTTGACATTCGACATTCGGTTGTCGGTGTTTTTCTTCGATGTAGACCAAAGTACACTTAAAGCATGTTGCGTAATGAATACTCTTGCTTTCTTTGGAAAGGAAGGAGCCACGGCTCAAACATGTAGTCGAACGATGTAGTTTGAATAACACATTTCAGGTCATCACGCTATGACCCAGTTCAGTCAAAAAACACTCACTCCTATTTTTTGTGTTTTTTTTTTGCATGCGGGCGGATTATAAATCAAATCGAATTTTACTGACTTCAATGTATTGTGTTTTTTTTTTAATTATTTTTAAGAAAAAGGCAAAACAACTAACAATTGACTTTCTTTCTATCCAGTGAATCAATAAAAAAGACTTTCTCATCACAATTGGCAAAGGATAGATAAAAACCGGTTGCCATGTCACGATTGTAATCTATTTTACAATAAAAATCCATTCTTATTCATTTTGTGTTTTCCGTTCTTTTATATGCTTTTTGGAGAAGCTTCTTTAAGCTTAAAAGAAGGCTGACTTATAACAAAAAGAAACTGACTTGTTAAAAAGAAATACCATCCATTATTTATAAATTGAAAGATCAGTTGAAACAATGTATTTGAAATAGCGTTGTCCTTTGTATCGTTTCAATGAGTCTTTATTGTTATACATTGTGTGCTGAATACTCGTTGAACGACCTAGGACGAGTTCCCAGTTTTTGTAATGACTGTAGCTGATCCGGGGAAATTAATCGTTTTTATGACACAATCTATAAATTTATTGTCGAATTTAATCTGCTTAATTCACATTTTTCATTCGCAAAAATGAAAATATAAAAAAATGAACTCATATATTCGCAGAGCATGTGCTAATAGTACATGATACAACAACATCATTAATTTTACATCAAAATAAATTAAAGTTGCCTTGTCGTTGCAAAAAAAATTCCGTTACAATAAATTTTATGTTTGAAAAAGTACACAGGCCACATTTTTATTCATCTCTGCGCTGTCATCGTTGACTTTGCAACACTAGTACGATTCTACCGTCGATTACACATTATTTTAGAGATTTGCATCTATTTCTCCTTTCTTTGTTGTTGAAAATTTAATCTGTCATTTGCCAAAGCGTTGAGCTCTTTTTTTGTTTTTTGTTTTTGTGTGCACAATATGAAAACCACGGTGCCGAGTAAAAAGAGCGAAATGAGAGCAAACTTTTAATTTACAATGAACATGCGCTAATAAATTATGGTAGGAGTTTTTTTTTTGGCTTTGTTTAAGGCATTAGGGTTTGCCTTTGCATGACCTCTTTTGGTGTGTGAAAGAGACATATAGAGATAGAGATAGTTGATGAAAAATAGTGAACAAAAATATAGTGGCTTTGTACACGATTATATCTATTAACATGAATCCGTTTCCAATTTGTGTGTCAGCCACAATGTCATGTTATTTTTTGTTTGTTTCTTTTGACGAGAAATATTAGACTAATTCAGTTCGTATCTAAGCCATAATGATGTGAAGTGAAATGAATGCACGTATCAGCTTTGACAGCTTTGTGTCAGGATCTATCGAAAACCACAGGCACACTGAAAACAACGCAGCCATTATGTAATGGAACATCCAACCAATTGACTGCAATTTAATTTTTCTAATTTTCTATTTGAATGGCACATTTTTTTATATTTTCATTGAACACATATGCAATTTGATAAAAGTGCTCACATCCCATGTAGTTGTACATTGCATGTATCTGTGTTTATAGTTGAGCTCACATTTCAGCGAAATTCAATCATATCGTTGAGCAGAGCAAAAAAAGAGAAGAAGATTGGTTTGTATATGGAAATTGGCACAAATAACGGATGAAATGCAAACACTTTAAGTAAAATTTGATTCCTCATTTGAATTGCCCGAATCATGTGGTGCAATTGAATTTTCACATAAATTGACATTTACTAGAAATCTAGATTGATTTTCGTGCCGTGTTCGACGTGCAAAATGATGCCGTATAAGTGGGTTTCCATTTATTTACGATATTTGCAATCAATTCACAAGAATTTTATTTATGGTTAAAAAAAAATATGAGCAAGCGAGCGAGCGAATATGAAATTAAATAGAAACAGTTTTAGCGCAATAATTTCAATTCATTGCCATGAGTCATATTTGTTTGAAAGCAACTGCCGCTTCTGCTACTTTGAAATTGTTTATTCTGTGACGATTTGCTATTGGATCTTGTGCGCTTAATACATCTGATGTGCGATTTAACTCATATTGCAATAATGTTGCAATATTGGTGTATATTTTACAATTAAATTGTTGTTATATTGAGTTTGATTTTCGCATTTTTCCCATATTGAAACAATGTGCAACAAAA